GGGGCCAGGCAGCTCCCGCCGCTGCTTTTCACTGCTGCCAGGGGAACGCGGCGCGTGGCAGGAGCTCCCGCAGGGACCGGCCCCCGTCTGAGGGTCCAGGCTTGGGGGTGGGATATTTTCTTTCACGTCTTGGTTTTGCCCCAGCTTCCCGGAGCTTATCGCGCTGGGATTGTAGTTTTGCGTCTCGCTGCCTGTGGAAGCGCTGCACGGCGCGCCCCAGGAGCGGAGCGGTCACACGGAACTGGGGGTTGCTGGCAGGCCCCTCGCTGGACCCAGCACCGGGCAACCCTCCTTCCTCTTCCCACAGGCCAAACTGCTGTTCTCCGATGGCAAAAAGGTTGTTCCCAGGCTGCCCCATGAGCAGACGGTACCAAAGGTAAAAGCTGTGATTGTTCCCAGAGGCGTGAAGGACTTGTAAGAGCCAGGAGAAGGAGGAGGGTTGGAGTTGCTTTGTTCTGTGCCTCTCGCCCATCAGCGCTAGCAAGGCGGCCGAGCTGGGGGCTGGGAGGGCGCAGTACCTAAAGGGCAAGGAAAATCCCAGACACAGCCGCTGCTTGCTGCGGTTCAGAGCCTCTCCCCACGATGGGGTGGGGCCAGCATTGCCCCCCACGCTTGTGCTCTGCACCTCGAGTGAGAGCGGCTGGCTGGCTGTGGGGGTCCCTGCTCAGCCCGCTGCTGTTCCTCTTCCAGCGTGCCCGACAGATGGACGAGGAGCTGAATCGTCGAGGGAGCCCCGTTCCCAAAAAGGTAGGAGGGTTTTCCACACAAGGGATTTTACATTTTGGGAAACACGTTCCTCGTTCCTGTCCATTCCCACAGTACGAGCACATGCAAGTGCCCAGGTGGTTTTTGAGATGTCCCAGAGGTGGTTGCTCTCGTGCCAGCTGGCATTTCTGCTCATGACAAAAAGAGCAGCTCCCCTGGGAGGGGGAGGGTGACCGAGGGGGTTCTCTCAGCCCACACAGCTGAGTCACTGAAGGATTTCTTCTACGCAGAGAAAGGGGCGGCCTCCAGGACAGAGCCTGGCGAACGATCGCGGGGTCTCAGGGCTGGCAGCGTGAGTATGGGAACTGAGCTGGAGGGCAGGGGGGAAACGGGGCTGCCTGACTGGGGGAGCACAGAAACCCCACGGTCTCCTTCCCCTCCTGCACAGAGGAGAGGTGCAGGGCAGTGCCAGGGGTTGGGCAGGGGGGGTTTAGGTTGAGCTGTTCCCCCCAGGAGGCAAAGACCTTCAAGGACTTGGTTTTAAACAGGCTCGAAGTGGTGACAGGGTCCACATGGGACCACTCAGAGCGAGCAGTGTGAGACACAGGTGGTGGCGGGATCTCAGCAGCTGGGGCCAGGAGAACGTGCAGCAAAGATGAGGGTGGGGAGTTGGGGAACGGAGGGTGTGCAGGAAGGCGGATCTGGAAGGGCTGGGGCTCAGTCCCTTCTGTGTGTGCTGTGGTGGTGACTGCACTGGTCCCGCAGGGACTTGCTCTTACTGCATTCTCCTTCCCCACAGGTGGAAGATCAAAGTCTCTGAGCCCGTGAGAAGGGATGGACCAAAGGTATTGGCTGGCCGATGCTGCTGGGCTCACCCTCTCCTCCCCTTTGCTTCCGCCAGCAGAGCCCTACTGCTGCGGGAGCGGAGGACAGCGCCGAGCTGTGCTCTGCCCCGATGGGCCCCTGCAGTGCAGGAGAGAAGCAAGAAGAGGAGCGAAGTGCCTGGAGGCCTTTGCTTGTCTCCCCCAGGCGCTGTAGCCTGTAGCTCTGCGGTGTGGTGCCGCTGCTAGGAGACCTGGGGAGAGCAGTAGTAGCCAGGAGGATCCCACAAGTGTTTCCCACAAAGGAAACTGCTTAGATCAGCCCAGAGGGAAAGTAACTTCCCTCCTCTGTGGAAGTCCGGAGGTCTGTGGCCAGCTCCCTTCCTCCCAGGCCGGGGGCGGTGCCGAGGTTCCCTGTCAGAGAGCTGAGGCTCGTGGAGCATGGGCTGGCACCAGCTTCATTTCTAATGTTGCCCCTTTTCCAATTGCTCTGTAGTGGGATCCATCCCGACTGACTGAAACCACAACCTTTGTGCTGGGATCTCGAGCAAACAAGTAAGGAGTGGCCCTGTCGATGGAGGGTGGTGTCTCCAAGGCAGGAGCCCGTAAGACTCCTCCTGTCACTTCGCTTCTCTGCCTTGAAAGCAGTAGGAAGGGCTTGGGGAGGAGAGGAGGTGTCCCCGTACCGCCGCGGCTGCGCCCCGCACAGCTGTAACAGCCCATCGTGTTCCTCTTTCAGAGCTCTCGGGATGGGAGGAACAAGAGGGCGACTCTACATCAAGCATCCCCACCTCTTTAAGGTCAGATGCCGCGGCAGGACGCCTCCTCCTTCGGGGTTTGCTCAGAAACAGTTTCTGGCGGGGATGGGGAGCGTGTCCCTCGGCCGGCTTGTCTTCCTCCTCCCCTGCGCCCGGTCTGGCTAGCACTCTGGGACAGCAGTTAACGGCTTAGCGCAGCCTCCGAGGCGGTGGGTTTGCCTGGAGCCAGGGCTTGAGGCTGGAGAAGCAGCCGGCAGAGCTGAGCCCACCCCCGGCAGCCCCCCGGGGCAGGGGGGAAGGCGCTGGAGTGGGGCGCAGCGTCCCGGCAGGCGGGTGGGCAGAGCCGGGGGTGGGGAGGGGGGGTCTGTCGCCTGCGTTCAGCTCGGTCCTTGCTGCTTTATTGCAGTACGCAGCCGACCCGCAGGATAAGCACTGGCTGGCAGAGCAGCAGCACATGAGGGCTACTGGGGGCAAGATGGTGAGTACGGGCGGGCCGGCGGGCGCCGCGCAGACCCACCGCAGGGCCAGGCCGGGGCCGCGAGCCGCGGCGTTGGCAGGAGGATAGGCTGAGGAGGGGCTGCCGGGGCGCCGCGGGGGCCCGTCCGCTGCCCCGCGGGGGTCGGGCCGGTATCGCGGGGGGGACGCAGCGCCCCTGAGGTGTGTCCCCCCCCCGCCTTGTGCCGCAGGCTTACCTCCTCATCGAAGAGGACATTCGGGATTTGGCTGCCAGCGAGGATTACAGGTGAGGGCCAGGGCGCCGTGTCCGCTGCCCTGCCTGGGGCTGCTGCCCCCGGGGGCTGCTGACGCACTTGCTGTGGGGGGGCCGTGCTGGAGGGGCCCTGCTCGGTGCCCCTGGGGGATGGGTGCCTGCTGGGGGGGCTCCGTGCTGGATGCCCGGGTCTGGGGTGGGTGCCTGGGGTTTGGGCTCGCTGCCGGCTGAGGGTCTGTGGGGTGTGGGGGGGGGGTGTTGAGGTCAGGGCGGTGCTGGCGTGCAGGGGGTGTGCCGGGGGTCCCCCCCCCACCTCACCCCACCCTCTCCCCAGGGACTCCATGGACCTGCGGCTGGAGGAGCTGAAGCCCTTCGTCCCGCCGGCCTGGATGACAGAGAAGATGCAGAAGCACATGGAGACGCTTCGCCGCGGGGGGGACGTCCCGCCCCCCGAGGGCCCCCCCGAGCCCTGAGGCCCCTCCCTCCCCCCCCTCCGCGCCAAAATAAAGCCGCTTCGCTCTCGCTTCCGCCGCCGCCTCCTGGGGATGGAACCGGGAAAGGGGGGGGGGGGGGGGGGGGAAGCGGGGGGCGGGTGTGTGTGTGTGTCTGTCCCTTTAAGAGCCGCCGGGGCTCCGCCCCGCGCCGCAGCGGCCAATCCGCGGCCGCCGGCCGTTACTGCGGCAGCCGCGTCCCCGGCGCGTCGCGATTGGCCGGCTGGAAGGGGGCTGCGCGCTGATTGGCGGAGCCGCCGCCCGTGGGAACATTCAAACGGGGGCGCGGGAGCGACCGGCGGCACCGGGACCGGCTCCGCCAGCAGCGACCCCCGGAGCCGCCATGGCCTCGCAGAACGCCGACCCCGCCGCCCTGCCCAGCGCGGCCGCGCGCAAAGCGGCTGAGGCGGCGGCCACGGCGGCCCGCGGCTCGGTGGGGAAGAGGTGAGCGGGGACCGGGACCGGGACCGGGGGCTGCCCCGCCGGGCCGGGCCGGTAACGTGTGATTCACCCGCAGGCTGCAGCAGGAGCTGATGGCGCTCATGGTGAGTGGGGTCCCGGGGCGGGGGGGGGGGTGTCCCGGGGCCGGGGGGGGGTCCCGGCGCCGCCCTGACGCACTGCCCCCCCCCCCCCCCGCCAAGATGTCCGGTGACAAAGGCATCTCCGCCTTCCCCGAGTCCGACAACCTCTTCAAGTGGATCGGGACCATCGACGGCGCCGCCGGCACGGTGAGCGGCAGGGCGCCGGTTCCCCCCCCGGCCGGAGCGGGGGGGCTTGGTCTCGGTCCTCCCCCCGGGTGTCCCGTCCCGTCCTTCCCCCCCCCCCCCCGGTGCCCCCCGGCCCTGACTCCCGCCCCCAGGCCTACGAGGAGCTGCGGTACAAGCTGTCGCTGGAGTTCCCCAGTGGGTACCCCTACACCGCGCCCACCGTGCGCTTCCTGACCCCCTGCTACCACCCCAACGTCGACAACCACGGCAACATCTGCCTCGACATCCTCAAGGACAAGTGGTCGGCCCTCTACGACGTCCGCACCATCCTGCTCTCCATCCAGAGCCTGCTGGCAGGTGGGTCCCACGGCCACGCTGCAGTGGGGTGCTGGTGGGGCCCAGGACACCCCCCCCACGCCCTGATCCGTCCCCTGTCCCCAGAGCCGAACATCGAGAGCCCCCTGAACACGCACGCCGCCGAGCTCTGGAAGAACCAACCCGGTGAGTGCCCAGGGCGGGCACCCCCCCCCCCGCACCCTCCCTCCGGGGGGGGGGCAGCGGCGCAGCCCCCCCACCCCGCTGTGTCCCGCTGCCTGCCCGGCCTCACGCCGGCCCCAGGACCCCAGCCCCGTGTCCCCCCTCTCTCCTCAGCCTACAAGAAGTATGTGCGGGAGACGTACGCCAAGCAGGCCAAGAGCCAGGAAACCTGACCCACACCACCGCCTCTGCCCGCTCCCTCTCCGGCCGCTCCCCACGGCGTTCTGTATCATAGGCTTTTTTTTAAATTAATTTTGCAGTTTGAGCCACGGTTAATGTATAAATAAATGCATGTTTATAACTTTCCTTTTGGGGGTTTTGTTGCAGACTGTGAGCGCCCAGAGGCATCTTCTCTCAGTCAGCCCAGCCCCTCGGTGAGCGAGGGCGGGAAGGGAGGGACACCAACCCCCGTGGGCTAACAGGGGCTTTACTGACAACTGGGGTGCCTGGAGCTTGTCCTGTTCTCCCCGCAGGGTGGGGGCAGCCCCCACCGTCACCTGCCTGAGCGGGGGGCCGGGTGGGGTGCAGTGCTTGGGACTCTGTCCCCTGTTCCGTGACACCTGAGCAGGCAGGGGGGGTGCTAGCCCTGCCGCCTCATCTCCTGCTCCCCCCCCCAGTCAGAGCACCCTGCAGCAGCACCCAGGGCGAGACCCCCCCTGGGCTGCCCCAGCCAGGGGGGCTGCAGTGCTGCCCCTCCCCGCCAGCTGCGTGGCCTCCACCGTCCAGAGCGGGATGTTGGCTCTGCTCTCCATCTCCGCCAGCGTGGCCCTCACCTGCTCGATCTCCTCCTCCAGGCACGGAGCGGCTGGGGGCTGCGCGGGACCCCCCCCTCGCCGGCTCCCCCTGCGGCTGGGCGGCCCCCGGCCCCCCAGCCCGGTGCGCAGCGGGGCCGTGCCGCCCCCCTGCACGGAGAAGAGCTGGCAGAGGTGGTGGGCTTGGCACAGATCCTGCAGGAAGAGCTCCAGGGCGGAGAGGAAGAGCACCCACAGCCGCTCCAGCTCCCGCCGCTCCTCGGGGCTCGCCGGTGCCTGCCGCAGCCCCGCCAGCAGCGCCTGCCGCAGCCCTGAGGCATGGGGAGGGGGGGACACTGAGCCGGGGTGGCCCCAGAACCCCTCCACCAGCCCAGCTGTGGGTGCAGGGGGGTCACCGTGGCTGCTGCCCGGTGCAGCAGCCCCATCCTTACCGGTGCTGAGCTCACGCGCCTCCGCGCTCCTCCTGCGCCGCTCCTCCCGCAGCCGGGGGCTGTCGGCGCTGCCCCCCAACTGCAGCACCAGCTGCCGGTGCCCGGCCGTGGCCTTGCAGAGGGCGGCCTGGGCCACCGCACACGTCCCCGCTGCCCCCCGCCCGCGGCACGCGTCCTCTCGCCGCGGTGCCATCACTCCCCGTGGGGACGGGGCAGTGTCAGGCCCCTCCGCAGCGGCTCCTGGCTTGCAGGGGGGGTGCTCGGCTCCCCCGTGCCACAGGGCTGTGACGGGCTCTCAGCCACCTCCCAGTGTCCCACCAGCTGCACATCGTCCCCCCCTCGTCCCCCCACTGCGCTCCTCCCTGGCTGCAGAGGCTCTAAATCGGGGAGGAGCAGGTCCCTGGGGAGCAGTGATGCACGGCGGGCTGGCACAGGCACAGAGGCTCCTTGACCCCACAGGGAGGGGGCTGCTGCTTCCCCCCCACCTTATAGCCAGGTCCTCTGTGCCCTTCTGGTTGGGACAGGGGGGTCCTGGTGTGGGGCAGGCAGCGGTGGCTCCCCTCTGGTCCCACAGCCCTGCCCCAGAGCGGGTGGGAGCAGCCCCCCAGAACTCCGGGGCCGCAGTCCCTCGCCCGCTGGCGTGTGAACCGGCTGCTCTGCATGGAAAGTCTGAGCTCAGCGCTGGCCCCTGGCCCAGCTCTTCGTGGGAACCGCGGCCCCCACGCCGCGCGGGGGGAGCCCGACTGGCACGACACCCCGGGACACGTCCCCGCTCCCTGGGGAGCGGTGCAGCAGCCACGGTGCCACGGTCCCCTCCGCACGCAAACCCGGTGTAGTTCTGCACCGGCAGCTCAAGCTTTTCCCCTTTTATTGAGGCTCAGACCGAAACCGCATGTGACAGACTGGAGGAAAAGCTCTGGCGGGGGGCGGGAGCGGGGGGCCGGGCGCTGCGGAGCTGCTGCTCCCTGGGGGTGGTGGAGCAGGGCTGGGTGCAGCGGCCGGCCTGAGGAATGTCTGGTCCCTTACTGCACACCCTCCATCATCTTCAGGAACTCTGCAAGAAGAGCAGCACCCTCAGCCCACGGCTCTGCCCGGGGCGCGCAGCACGGGCACTCGGCCAGGGCCGTGGCTCACCATCGAAGTCAATGCGGCCATCGTTGTTCTTGTCCGAGTCCTTCATCAGGTCCTCTATGTCCTCCTCGGTGACGTGCTCCCCCGTGGCCCTCAGAATCTCGCCCAGCTCCTCGATGTCGATGAACCCGTCCGCGTTCCTGCAGGAGGGTGAGGGCAGGATGTGGCCCCGCTCGCCCCCGCGGGCGGGACGGGCAGGCATCACCCCCCGCTCACCGGTCGAAGATGCGGAAGCAGTTGGCCAGCTCCTCCTCAGACTTGCCCTTGGCGTCCTCCTTCATCTGGCGCACCATCATCACCAGGAACTCCTCGAAGTCGATGGTGCCGCTGCCTGCGGGGAGGAAGCCGAGCGTGGCTCGGGCTGCCCACCCGGCGCCCAGCGCCCAGCGCCCGCGGCCGAAGGCTGCTCACCATCCTCATCCACCTCCTCTATGATGGCGTCCAGCTCCTCCTTGGTGGGGTTCTGGCCCAGCATCCTCATCACCGTCCCCAGCTCCTTGGTGCTGATGTCTCCGCCGCCATCCGCATCAAACATGTCGAAGGCGGCCTTGAACTCTGCGGGGGGGGGGGGGGGGGGTCAGGGCCAGGCAGCGCAGGGGATGGGGCCACAGCAGTGGGGCAGCGCCTGGCCCCGCACCTTGGCCGGCTCCGGCCCCTCTCCCCATTGCCCCCGCGCTCACCCGCAATCATCTCCTCGCTGAGGAAGGCGCGGGCTTCAGCCTGCTGGTCTGTCTGCAAGGCAAGGGAGGGGGGTCACCGTGGCCGCCCCCATCACTCCCGGGAGCCCCTCGCCCAGGGCAGCCCCACGGCACAGGGGCGCGGGGCGATGCCACGCCAGGGTGAGCCACGGTCCCCGGCAATGCCGCAGCTCTGGAGCCGCCCGGGGAACCTGCGAGGGCCGGGGGGGGTCTCCGTGGCGCAGGGGCCGCGCTCCCTTCGCGCAGCCTTGGCATGCCAGGCACGCCGCGCTATTTTGGGGCTCTCCTTGGCTCCCCTTGTAGGGCTCGGCGGGGCCGCGGGCACCTGTCGGCCCTGATCGGGTTTCTCGCGGGGCCGGCACCAATGCCGTGTCGCATGACCCCGTGCTCAGCTTTCAGCCGCCCCCCTGCCACCGCCGCGCAGCCCCCGGCTCCGGACGGGGCCGAGCCAGCGTCCCCGGCCACTCGCACCCCTCGGGCAGCCGCACGGGGTGTCCCCCCGCCCCGGCACATCCCGCTGGGACCCTGCACCATCCCGATACCTCCCTGCCCTTGCCCACCGCGGGCAGCCCTGCCCCGGGGACCATCTCCCCACCGCCATCCGCAGAGGCACCTCGGCAGCCCAGATCCCCCGGGGACGCGGGGTGCCCGGTGCCTCCTGCCCCGCCGGGTCTCACCCCAGCACGCGGCAGCGTGGGTGCTCTTACCATCGAAGGCATTTCTGCTGCTTCCCTCCCCCAGGGAGTCACCACCTCCTGCAGCAGAATCCCCCAGAAGATCCCTGGTGCCCCTGGCACCCCAATTTGTAGTGTCCCCGCCGCACGGCGTGGCCCCAGCTGCTGGCCCCCCGGCCCCAGCAGCCTATCAGCTCCCCGGTGGCAACCCGGACCTGCTCATTGGCAACGGGTGCATTTTACCTAATTTAGCCAAAGCATTATTGGCCAAGTGCTGGGGATTAAATGTGGGTCTGAGGCTGGGATAGAAATTCAAGCCCTCCAGGGAGGGACACCGGAGCCTTGACAGGAGGGCGGCTCTGCCCCCACCCTGCAGGACCCCCCTGCCCGAGGAGGCTCAGCAAGGAGGGGGTTAAAAATAGCCCCAGAGCCGCCAGCATCACCCAGACAAGGGGGCCAGGGCTCCCCCCTGCACAGAGCTGTCTGCCCCAGTGCCGTGGGCATGGACACCCTTACCGAAGCCCCAGCTCTGCCTGGGGCAGGCTCCCCCGGCACGGCGTGTTCCCCCTTCATCCCCACGAAACCCTGGGGGCTCCAGCCCCTTCCCTTCACCCCCAATTTCTGCTCAGGTGTGCCGAGGCAGAGCCGCATTTGCAGCACCCTGCCTCAGGCGAGGAAGGGGTCCCCGGCAGGGTCCGGGGCCCAGAGCCCCTCGGGGTGCGGAGCATGCCCCCCCTCCCCGGTGCGGGGTACCCGGTGCTGTTGGCACCCGGCTCCTGGGTTTGGAAAAGGTCTTGTTTTTCCGTGTTGCTGGGAGAGTGGGAAATCTGCCCGGACGCCTCCTCGAACATCGCTGACCATGCCAGCCACCTTTGCCAGTGCCCGGCCGGGGCTGGCATCTTCGGGGATGCACTGGCCAAGTGGCCTATGGCCCAGCGCTGCTCCGAGGGGGCTTGGGGCTGCAGTGGGGTCAGGCTGACAGCACCCTGGTCCCAGTGCCAGGGACATCCAGGAGGTTCCCTGGATCCCCCGTTTTACTGGGATCCCCCTGTCCCCTTGCACGTCCCACCAGCTGGCCAGCAGCCGGGTGGGGACGGGCTGGGGGGGCTTTGAGGCACCCCAGAACTGGGCGCAGAGGCCCCGGGGGAGCGCAGGGATCCCCGTTGGCACCCAGGCAGGGTGCGGGGTGCTGGAGCAGGGTGCAGCGGGCGAGCGGGGCCCGAGCGATGGCAGCAGCTGGGCCGGTTCTTCGATATTAATAGACATTCCCAAGAAAGCAGCGAGGAGGGAGCGGGCACGGCGCTAAAAAAGGCAGGGTGAGCTCTGGGGGTGCAGCCCGGGGTGCGGGGTGAGGGCAGCGGGGTGCCAGGGCAGCCCAGGGGACGTCCCGCAGCGGGATCGGGAGCTGGGGTGTGGGGTACCGGGGTGTCGGGGTACCAGGATATGGGGGTGCCAGGATACCGGGATATGGGGGGTACTGGGGTGTCAGGGTGTTGGGATACGGGTGCACTGGGGTGTTGGGGTACCAAGATATGGGGGTACAAGGGTGCCAAGGTATGGGGGCACTGGGTTGCCAGGGTACTGGGATATGGGGGTACCGGGGTTCCGGGATACAGGGGCACTGGGGTGTTGGGACCCCGCGATGCCGGGCGCTGAGGAGCGGGGCTCCTGCAGCCGCGGGGGGGGGGACGGACACACCCGGGTCCCTGCCAGGACCGTCCGGGCAGGGCTGAGGGGAGCGGGGCTCGGGCGGGGGCTGCGGGCGGACCCGCCCCGGGCCGGACCGTGCCGGGCCCCGCCGCCGCGATCCGGGTTCCCGGCGGAGGCGGAGCCGCGCAGGGAGGATCCCGGGACGAGCCGCGGCGGAGCGGCCATCGCTCGGCACCGCCCGCCGCGGGGACGCGGCTGCACCGGGCCGGGGGGCCCCCGCGCCGCCGTGTCGGGGTGACCCGGCCCGAGCCGCCCCGTTCAGCCGCGGGGATGGCCGCCCGCATCCTGCACCGCCTGCGGCACGCGCTGTCCCGGGAGGGCGGCCGGGAGGAGCGGGCGCACGGCGGCTCCGGGGCCGAGGACTGCCCGGAGAGCTCGGAGCTGGAGGACGACACCGAGGGGCTGTCGACGCGCCTCAGCGGCACCCTGAGCTTCACCAGCCACGAGGAGGAGGAGGAGGAGGAGGAGGAGGAGGAGGAGGAGGAGGAGGAGGGGGGTGCTGGAGAGGAGCTGGGGCAGCCACCGCAACCGGCCGGGGCGGCAGCGGGTGCAGAGGATGGAGGCAGGTGCTGGGGCCGGTGTGCTGGGGGGGCCGAGGCAGCCCCGCTCTCTGGGGTGGGGTGGGGTGGGGGGGAACCAGCGGCCCGGAGGTGTTGGGGAGCCCTGTCCCCACGGCGGGAGCGCTGACCCTCCCCACCCCCCCCCACCCCCCCCTTCTCCCGTCCGCAGAGTGGGGTGCGGCGGCGGAGCGGCCCGGCGGCAGCCTGCTGACCCGGCAGCTGCAGGAGCTGTGGCGGAGGTCGCGGGGCAGCCTGGCACCGCAGCGGCTGCTCTTCGAGGTCACCAGCGCCAGCGTGGTCAGCGAGCGCTCCTCCAAGTACGTGGTGAGTGAGCGCGGCGCGGCGGGGCTGGGGCGGGTCCTGCTCCCTCCCGGGGCGGGGGTCCCACGGGGCTGGTGCTTATTTCTCTCTGTCTTTCCCCGTGCTGCTCGGACGGTGCTGGCGGCTCAGATGAGCCTCAGGTAACTATCGCTGCCGGGGGTGGTGGTGGGGGGGGGGGGCTGCGGCTGCCCACCCTGCTCCTTCCCACCTGGGCCGACCCCCCCGCGGCCGCGCACCCGGCTCTGCCCGGCCCCGCAGCCCTGACGCCCGGCTCGCCCCGCAGCTCTACACCATCTACCTGATCCGCTCCGGCCGGTTCGACAAGGCCCCCGCCGCCATCGCCCGGCGCTACTCGGACTTCGAGCGGCTGAACCGCCGCCTGCGCCGCCGCTTCGGCTGCGACATGGCCGGCGTCGCCTTCCCCAGGAAGAGGCTGCGCCGGAACTTCACCGCCGAGACCATCGCCAAGCGGAGCCGAGCCTTCGAGCAGTTCCTGTCCCACCTGCACTCCATCGCCGAGATCCGCCGCTCCCCCGAGTTCCTCGAGTTCTTCTTCCTGCAGGACCTGCGTGCCGCGCAGCGCCTGACCTGCACCGGCATGTACCGCGAGGCCCTGGCCACCTGGGCCAACGCCTACCGGCTGCAGGACCGGCTGGGGGCCTGCGGCTCCGGCCGCTTCCTCCTGACGCTGGCCGGGCTGGCCGTTTGCCACCAGGAGCTGGACGAGCTCGGCGAGGCCCACGGCTGCTGCGAGCAGGCGCTGCAGCTGCTGGAGGCGCAGGGCAGCCACCCGCTGCTGGGGCCCTTCCTGCAGGCCCACGTCCACCTGGCCTGGAAGGTGGGCAAGGACAAGCGGCGCTCGGAAGCCCGGCTGCAGGACCTGCGGGAGGCCGGGCCGCCGCTGCAGCCGCAGCCCACGCTCAAGGAGTGCCTCATCAAGGAGCCTCTGGAGTGAGCGGCCCGGCGCCGGCAGCGGGGCGCGGGGGGCTCCAGCCCCAGGGCAGCGAGGGCGATGCCTCGAAAATGCACTTTCTCCGTGGTTAGCCTGTCCCGCGGGGCCGGGTGCTGCCACCCGCACTGCCGGGAGCCGGCTGCCCCTCCCAGGAGCGGCCAGGACAGCAGCCGGGACGTACTGGCACTGCGCAAGGGAGCGGGGAGGCTTCTGGGCAGGGTCCGGGGCTCTTGCCAGGAGCTTCCCATAAAACTCATACAATAACAAGGACTTTATTAAATAAAGTCGTGGTAGGAAGAAGAGCGAGGCGCCTGCTGTGTCTGTTCAGCTTTGCTGCCCCCAGGGCACCACCATCGGGAAGCCTTCAAGCCCCCCCCACCCCCCGGCTGAGCTGGGAGCAGCCTCGTCCCCTTTCCCGGCTCCCAGCAGCTGGGCCCGAGCGTGAGCGCAGCCCCGGGGAGGAGACCGAGGGCGATCGGAAGCAGCGACTGACATGCCGGGGCACAAGGAGGGCAGGAGAAGTGAGAAGGGGAAGCCACGTGCGCTGCAGTAGCACGTTCCCCTCCTGCAACCCAGCCTGCTGCGGGGGCAGAACCGGCCCCCAGTGCCCCCAGTGCCCCCCGCCCTCGCCCTGCCGGGAGAGGCTCCCTCGGGGAGCCCCGTCACAGCAGCCAGAAGGACAAAGTCCAGGGGACGGAGCGAAGCTGTTCACCTGACGGCTTTATTTCAGGCAGGTGAGGGGTGGCCGACTGCAGCGTGCGGTTACGTGCTGCGCAGCTGGCAGCCGGTCACAGCGGGTGCCTCTGCGGGTCCCCATCCGTCGCAGAGGGCCTCTGGCTCCAGCGCTCCTCGGTGCTGGATCCGGACCAGTCTCCTCCGAGGCTCCGTCCCCGCTGTCACCCAGGTCCTGCCTCGCCCGCATCTTTTGGTCCCAGGGTCGCTCCCTCAGCATGCCCAAGCTCCAGCCCGTGGGGGTTCCTCAGCTAAAGCTTGCTCTGGCTTGGCGTTTGCTCCACCCTGATGACTCCTTCCTGCACGCAGGTGACAGCCAGGACCCCGTCCCTGCGCCACAGCCGGCCCTGCACCAGTCCCCGGCACCCGCCTGCAGAGAGGGTCTGTCAGCCCCCCGCGCCGGGCAGGGCCGGCCTCTGCCACGCGGGCCCCCGGGAGCGCGGTGAGGACTCACCAGCCCAGGGGCTCTCGCACTCGTACAGCATCCAGTGGTCTGCTCGGAAGGGCGCGTGGAACCACATGGAATGGTCGAGGGACACTATGAACTTGACGTGGTGCTGCCGGTGCGGGAGCAGGGCCGTGCCCAGGAAGGCGTAGTCGGAGATGTAGGCGGCCACGCAGCAGTGCACCTTCATGTCGGTCTCTCCTGCAAAGTGACCGGCACTGCCCCGTCGCCCGCGGGCCAGGCAGAGCCGAGCTGCTCCTTCAGACCCGCTCCCCTCGCCGCGCCCCCCGGGGAAAGCCCGCCGAGGCTGAGCACAGCACACGGACGTCGCTTCACGCCCCGGCACCCTCCCCTCTATTTCAGCTTTGAAATCCCCAGGCCTCCCCGCAGGCTTGGGGCGCAGGCAGCCGCTGGATCGCAGCCCTCAGCCCGCTCTGCAGCGTGAGCTCCAGCCCAAGCCCACAGCTCGTGAGGCAGATGAACCACCCCCCCGGTGGGACCCACCTATGTAGCCTCGTGCTCGCACCCAGAAGAGCTGCTTCGGCTCCTGCGGCTCCGAGCAGAATATATTTGGCGGGTTCACGGGTTTGATATCAATCGGCACGTCTTCAGCTTGGATCTTGTTGAGATGCTTCCTGTACCTCTCTGCCAAGTTAGGGTCCCTGTAGGCCGACGCGGACAAGCGAGGTTAATGCCAGGCAGGCCAGGGACACGTCCTGCTGGCAGCAGCTTCAGCCCAGGGACCTGCGGCCACACGGGAAGGCAGGAGGGGCACGGCAGCTGCCCTGTCCCGCTTCTCTGCTCCTCTCCCAGGCGTATTTGGGGCCCCCCTTGGGCAGCCACCCCAATCCCTCCCTCTCCCCAGCGATGGGCATCCCCAGTGCGCCCCTTCCCCCTCACCCACCGCAGGAACTTCTGGACGAGCTCCTCTTGCGTCAGCAGCTCCTCGGGGGGCGGCGCGGCGGGCATGGTGAACTGGTGCTGCACTGGGCTGCCCTGGGAGAGCTGGAAGGAGGCCTGGCAGGTGAAGATCGGCTTTCCGTGCTGGATGGCCTTTACGGAACGAACAGAGAAGCTCTTCCCTGTGCGGGTCCGCTCCACCTCGTACAGCACCGGTACCTTGGGGTCCCCTGGGGCGGGAAAGGGGTGTCCTGCCGCGGGGCCACCGCGGAGGGGTCGCGATCTACGGAGGCCCCACACCGGGGGCAGCGCGGGGGCACCCGCTCAGCCCCGGGGGGCTCGGCCCCGGCGCCCCCAGCCCCTGACCTGTTCCTCCCGCCGCCGGGGCCCGCGGTCGGCCCCGCTTCCCGCCGCCCGGTGCCCCGCGGGCCCGGCCCACCTGCCCGCACGAAGTAGCAGTGCAGCGAGTGGACCTGCTCGTCGCGGCTGACGGCGCGGGCGGCCGCCACCAGCGCCTGCCCTACGATCTGCCCGCCAAAGAGGCGCTGCGTGGCGGGCACCCAGTGGTGCCGGCCCCTGCGGGGAAGAGCGCGGCGGCGGTGAGGGCGGGCGGCCCGGGCCCGGGCCCGGGCCCCGTCCCGGTGCCGGCGCCCCCGCACACCTGAAGAGGTCGAGCTCCAGCCGCTCCAGGTTCAGCACGCTGGTGATCAGCACGCTCCGCAGGTCTCCGAGCGCCGCCGGTCCCGGTCCCGGTCCCGGTGCCGGCCCCGGCTCCCCGGACCCTTCCGGCTCCGCCATTTCCTCACCGACCCGGAACCGCCGCCGCCCGCCCTGCGGCGCGGGAAGTACCGCCCCTCAGCGCGGCGGAGGACCGCTAGCTGATTGTGCTATCGAGCCGTCAGTCAGGGGGAGGGGGTGGGGTGGTGGCGGAAAGCGCTGGGATGATTGGTTAGCCCGCTGCCAATCCGGATGAAAGCGCCTTCGATTGGTCGTCCCGCGGGGTGCGGGCGGTGCCCCGGTTCGTTTTAAGGGCGGCGGGCGGCGGGCAGCTCCCTATGGCGGCTGAGGGGGAGCGGTGAGGGGGTCGGGCCCGGTGTCCGCCATGGAGCTGGGCGCCCGCTTCGGGAGCTACGAGGAGTTCAGGGAGCGCTTCCGCGCCTACAAGCTGTCGCAGCGGTACCGGTACGGGCTGCAGAGCTGCGTCTCGGTCCGGTGGCACAACCGGCAGCACGGCACGGCCGTCCGGGAGGATGTCAGGTAGGGCGGGCGGGAGCAGGGGCTCGGGGACCGAGGCTGGCACAGGGAGGGGTGGCTGCCCCGTTACGGTCACGGGCTGAAGGCGGACTCGTCCCGGGGGGGAAAGCGAGCGTCAGTTTAGCTCGGACACCAGGAACAAGAGCGCTGAGCAGCGCAGGACAGCGAGGAGCGTTACCACGTCTTGCGAGCGCCTTCCCCCCCCTCCCCGGGCTCAGCTCTGCCCCCCCCGCGGGGCAGGGGCAGGGGATGGGGGTTACAGCCCGCCTGCTGCCTCCCTGCCCCGCTCCTCGGGGCTCCCCTCTCCCTGCAGACCGTCCTCCGGGAGCCCCCTCCGCAGCGAGGCCTCCCCACGGGCCGCAGCCGTTCCCGAGCTGCCGCGGCGTGGGTGCCCCCCCCCCCCCCCCCCCCCCCCCCCCGGACCACAACGGCGGGAGCTGCTGCTCCCCTCCGAGTCCCGGTGTACCGGGGAGGTGCCCGTCCCGGCGTGGCTTTCTCCCTGCAGCGGCAGGTCGGCCTCTGCTCTGCCGCCGGTCTCCGGGGGGGGCTGCTGTCGTGGTCTGGGCCCGATCGGCAGCCAAGCCCCGCAGGGGGTCACCCTCCCGTCCCCCTCCCCACCCGGGAATGGGGGAAGGGATCACAGGGGTGAAGGGAGACTCGCAGGCTGAGATAAGAACAGTTTAATAATGGCAATAAAATTAAAACAATAACGATGATGGGGGGAAAACAAAAAGAAATATATAAACAGGCAATGTACAGTGTAATTGCTCCCCACCCGCTGACCAACATCCAGCCCGTTCCCAGCCAGCGACCCCGAGATACCAAGATCCCACAGTCGCAATCCCCAAAGCGAGAGAGCCCCTTCCCGACCCCCCCTCCTCTATATAGTGAGCATGACGTGCCATGATGTGGAATATTTCACTGGCCAGTTTGGGTCAGGTGCTGTGGCCGTGCTCCCTCCCTGTGCCCTTGCGCACGGGCAGGACATGGGGAGTCGGAGAGTCCTTGAAGTCTCAGCAGCAGCTGAAAACATCAGTGTGCTATCAGCATTTTTCCCATACCAAACCCAAAGCTAGATCCAAAACTCAGCACTCATCTAGTCCCTGAAAAGGAATATTAACCCTATTTCAGCCCAAACTAAGACAGCTGCCCTGCCGTCTCACCGCAGGGTACAAGGGGGCTCTGCTCCAGCACGACTCCCCCCCTTCCTCCTCCCTTCTTCCACCGACCCTGGTGTTCGCATAGCTGTCCTTCTTGTAACTCCTCCTCCTGTGTTCCCCTTCTTAAATACATTCTCGCACAGGCACAGCCACCATCACTGCCTGGCTTGGCCCTGGCCAGTGGTGGGTCTGACTTGGAGCCGGGGGGGCTTCGAAAAGCTCCTCACAGGGGCCACTGCTCTAGCCCCCTCCCCGCTACCAAAACCCCCACCAAACGAGCCCAGCCCGGCTGAACGCTGTTATAACCAGGCTATTTGTGGCTTTGGAAGGGCTGATCCCAATAGTGTAATACACCTGCAGAGAAGAACACCGCTGGCCATGTCACAGACTTGCCTTTTTCATAGTCTCAGCTGTTCCTGTGTCACTCTTGCCCCCCATCACTGCCTGGCTGTGTCCCAGCTGTCTCACTCCCCGCTCCTTCCCCAGCTAGCACTCGCTGTCCTGTCTGCTGCTTAGCTCTGGTTTACCCCTCTGTTCGGGCCAACAGTTCTCTCCACCTCTTGTAGCAGAACATGTAGCTTTGGTCTTTGGAGTCATCCTTCTGGCTAACAATACCTCCTGCATTCTTCTGCTCAAGTAGCAGGATGCCAAATACTGGCATCTGTTGGTGTTCCCCAGCTGCCTTTACCTCCCTGCAGCAGAAAGGTGTTGTCATGTTTCCCTCTCACAGCACTTTGCTTATCTGAGCGGGTGACACTGTCTCATTTCCATCCAGGTCAGTGGATCTGCTCGCGCGTGCAAAGGCTGCAAGGTCATTCTCTAGTTACGCAGCTGCTCCCTTGCTGCCTTCAAATATAATTTATTGCGCTTTGAAGCCTTTTTTGCAATGTTCTAGCCTGTTCTTCCAGATGCAGAGGAGTTGCAGATATGGTGTGTGCTTTAAGGGAGTAAGACACAAACACACAGGTATCGAGTTTTCATCGATGGCTTTGCTGTTTCTAGAGAGCAGAAACAGAGGCTACATTGGGAACAAGATCTGTGGCGGCTTTGTAGTGTCTGGTCTTGGCTGTTGTAACTCTTGATCCTGTTGTTCCTCCTGCATTTGAGCTTTCTTAGCCCAGGTAAGCCCAGCTTTTGCTGAGCAGAAAGCCAGCCTGCATGTCTGACTGGCATATGTGTGTTTTGTGTTCTGTGTGAGGTGACACAAGCAGGATCCAGGAACAACCACAAAACTGGATGAAATGCAAAGAGTAAATTTATTCTCGTCACCTCGTGACCTGGGGGGTCTCTGCAGCAGCACCCAGGCAGAAGCACGCAAGCAGGGACGTGGGCACTGCAGAGATCAGTCCCTGCTAGCCAGGAAGAGGAGAAAGAAAAAATCTTGAACTGCTGCTTTCACCGCTGTATATATCAGGGATTCTTCTGGGTGTAGTTTTCCACCATCATTTGATCTTTCCCACATCAGGGCAGGAGTCCCAAGGACGTTTGATAAGGTGCCTCTGAGTCTATCACAGGCCTGTGTTATCTAAATGCAGCCAAGCACACAAAGCTAAACAATTAGTATATGTGTTTTTCAACACCCCAGCTGTGTCACTTGAGTGTGTTTGCTCCTCGCCAATCTTCCATTGTATTCCCACACTCACTAACTGAATATAGAGTTGGCATGAAAGAAAAGTGAACTAAATGCTGGTAGCCTATGCCACCGTTGCTTCCCTGGTTAACTCTTTCTCAACATTTGCAGGTTCATGCAGGTGAAGTTTGTTTGTGGCCGGACCCAAAAATACACCAGGAAGAGAAAGATGCAGCCCAACTTATGTCCGGCTTATTTTGTGTTGCAGTATAAGGAGGACATAGACCAGCTGGTGATCAGTGAACTGAACGGTGACCATGTCCACTCGGACATGGTGCGTTCCCTGACCAGAGCCCCCGCCGTGACGGCAAGCACCGTGGCGTGCAACGGCCCCGTGACAAAACTGCGTGAGCGGCGGCGGGCGGGTGGGACCCACAGCAGGGCCACGGTGGATGAGAACTCGCACGCGGGACAGCCGGAGGACAGGGCGGCTGCTCCACGCGGGACTCCCAAGCTCCACGAGGTAGCAAAGGAAAATGCCTTGGCCTCCACGCTTGTTAGGGTTGCTGAGGTCATGAAAACCTTCCTGAGGGTGGACAGGGGCTCGCTGGCATCAATTAGCGCAGACGGCAACCACGGCCTGGACAGGCTCAGCTTCCAGACCAGCAAGATGAAGAGCTCGTTTATGCAGTTCCCCGAGAGCCTCCTGCTGCACCGGGCACTGAGCGAGGGGGGTCACGTCCTCTATGCTTTCCTTGTAGAGAGTAAGGAGCGAGTGGGGAAAGTGGTGCACTTGTCGCTGCTGAAGGATGACAAGGGACACAGGGTCAGGAAAATGCTGACCGTCTTCAAGGAGTTCAACCCCGAGTGTCAGAAGGTCCAGGCTGTTTTTGTGGACGTGTCCTTCTTTCACACAGCCATCCTCCACGAGCTCTTTCCCTCTGCCCAGGTGCTCCTTTCTGTCTATCACGCTGTCCGACTGCTCGAGAAGAACGTGAAGGAAGCGGAAATCTCCTCCTCCCTCAAGCGGAGCTCGATGCTGGCCTTGCAGAAAGCCGTGTTTTCCCCTTCGGCGGCAAGCCTGGAGGCCCTGTCCCAGCTGGTGAAGCGCGTGGTCAGCCCGGAGCTGTACGACCACCTGCGAGCCAACTGGTTCTCCTGCGAGCTGCTGTGGTGCTTGCACATGGAGAAGGGTCTGCGCTCCTGCAGCACGCTCATGGAGAGCCTGGACCTCGTCACACACCGCATAGCCACTCTTTTTGGCCACCAGCTGTCCTTGGAGGCGAGCGTCCTTCGTTTTCTGGAGTGTGCGGACAGCCTGGACTCCAGAGGCTTCGGAAGCCCAGAGTGGTGTTTCCCAAGCAGCAAGGAGGACGGCTGGAGGTGCCTCCAGGAGAAGCCCAGCGCGAGTGCCGGTGCTGCCGCACAACCAGGCCCCATCTCTGGCTCCCCGGCTCTCGCTGCGTGCCCCAAGCCCGCGGGGCAGGCTGCTGCGGCGGGGACGAGCCGCGTGCTGGCCGTGCTGCAGGAGAGCTGCACGGAGCTGGGCTCCTGGCTGTGCCGCGGGGAGTGGGAGGTGGTGCGGGGGTCCACCCAGCTGCTGAGCGCCGCGCAGGGCTGCCTCGCCGTTCGGCTGCTGGAGGACACGCACCAGGTGAGCCGGGATCGCCGGAGCTGCAGCTGCAGCTTCCACTGCCACTACCGGCTGCCCTGCCGGCATGTCCTGGCCGTGCTGCAGGCGCACCGGGGCCGCGTGGAGGAAGGCATGGTGTGCAGGCGCTGGCAGAGGAGGCACCAGCACCCTGCGGCCGGTCTCCCGGGCCGCAAAGGGGGTCTGGGGGGCGACCGGGAGGAGAGAGTCCGGTGCCTCAGCCTAGAGCTGGCCAACCTGCTGCTGCAGTGCGAGGGGCGGGAGCTGGAGGAGCGCAGCTCCGCGCTGGCAGCCGTCCTGGCCGCCTGGGCTGGGTCGGCGGGGCCGGGGGAGCCGGTGCCCCCGCCGTGCTCCGGGTGATGGGGGGGGCGGGGGGGACGACAGCGGGGCGCTGGCCTGCGCCGACCCCCCCCCGCACCGGGACCGGCAGGGGGCGCACCAACGCGGCGGTAGGTGGCGTTCCCGGAAGGGAGCGGGGCACGCCGGGATATGCTCCCCCCAGGGGAGCGGGGCATGCCGGGATACTTCCCCCCGCCAGGGGAGCGGGGCACGCCGGGATATGCTCCCCCCCAGGGGAGCGGGGCACGCCGGGATATACTCCCCCCAGGGGAGCGGGGCACGCCGGGATATACTCCCCCCGGGGGAGCGGGACAAACCCCCCCCCCCCCCCCCCCCGGGAAAAGCGGGGCCGCGGCCGAGCGCACCGGGCGGCGATGTCGCTGGCGCAGCCCCCGCCGGGCCTGGGCTGCGGCTCCCTGGTGACCTACGAGCTGGGGGCGGGCGGCCGCATGGTCTCCGTCAGCTTCCAGAGCGCCGCCATGGGCAACGTGTTCGCCCGCTTCCCGCGGGTGCTGCTGCTGCACCGGGCGGGCGGCCCGGCGGGCCGGGTGCTGTTCGTGTTCCTGGCGGGCGGCCCGGCCGCGGCCCCGGCGCTGCGCGGCGGCATGGCCCGCGTGGTTCACCTCGCCGTGCCGCGGGACGAGTCGGCGGCGAGCCTGGCCCGCATGTACGCGGCGTTCCGGTCCTTCAACCCCGCCTGCGCCCAGACCCGGCTGGTGCTGGTGGGCCCCGGCTTCCCGCAGCCGCCGGCGCTGGCCCGGGCCTTCCCGGGCGCCCGGCTGCAGCTCTCCGTCTTCCACCTCTGCCAGCGGCTGCAGCAGCAGATCCAGGGTCTGGCCCTGGGGGCCCGGTCCGAGCGCCTGGCGCTGGCCGCGCTGCGCCGGGCTGTGCGCACCGCCAGCCGCAGCAGCCGCGGGAAGACGCACGCCGTCCTGAGCGAGCTGGCGGGGCCCGGCCGGCTGCCCCGGCTCCGTGCCGACTGGCTGCTGGACGAGGAGATCTGGGCCGCGCACGGCGAGCGCAGCTGGGAGGGCAGCGCCAGCTTCTTCAGGGACCTGGAGGTCGTCAGCCAGGGGTTAGGCCAGGTTTTCAGCGCGGGGGGCTCCCTGGAGAGCTGCATCGCCTCCCTGGCCCAGCACTACCAGGAACATGTTTCGAAAAGCCTTCCCGATGCCGCGGCGTGCTCTGATGGCTGTGCTGCTCGGGCAGCTCCCCAGGCCCTGCCTGCCTCAGCTTCGCCCCTCGCCCCTCTGGCAGGCTGGGCTAAGCTGCCTCAGAGCTCGGTCCAGCCCACGCCACCCTCTCCCACAGCTGCTGCGAGTCCAGTGATTGTCCTCCAGAGTCCATCAGCAGCTCCGCGGCTCCCTGCAGCTTTTCAGCCTCAGCCTGAAGCCCCTCAGGCTCTTCTCCAGAGAAACCTCAGAAGCCCTCAATCCTCTTTAGATCCTTCATCTCCTGCAGCTAAACCGCAGGCCGTGGAAAACCCAGAGGGCGACAGCAAGGAGGAGATTAACCGAAGGGCTGAAGAACGCATCAAGCAGTCTTTGAGCGACATTTGCACGGAGCCCGCTGCCAGGCTGTGCCTGAGCGAGTTTGCGGTTGTTCAGAAGTCTGTGCAGCTGATCAGCACCAGGGAGGACGCTTTCAGCGTACAGCTCCTGGAGGATGCCCACAGAGTGGACCCGAAAGGCCTGAGCAGCTGCACTTGCCACTTCAACCAGGTCTTCCAGCTGCCGTGCCGGCACATCCTGGCCGTGCTGAATTCAGACAGGAAGACCTTGGAGCCAGAGGTGCTCAGCAGACAGTGGCAGAAGGGACGTGATACCCAGCAGGCCAGGCGAGACAGTGCCAATGGCCTCTTGGAGATCCTGAAGAGCTCCTGGAACAAGTCTTTGGATAAATCCCTGGTGGTGTCCTTCCTCACAGCGGAGACCAGCCGGCTTCTCACCTGCTGCAACGGGGAGGAGTTTGAGCGCCGGTACAGGACCCTGCGGGAGCTGGCTGACAGCTGGATTGGGCCCTACATGGAGGTGAAGCTCTAGCGCCGGGCCGAGCCGGCTGCCCCGCGTGCGGGCCCTTGGAGGCCACGGGTGTGTGGGAGGCCTGTTCATCGCTCCACCAGTGCCCTGGTTCCACCCGTGCTCCCCTCAGCCTGTCGCTCCCTCGAGGCTTGGCACGGAAGGGGCAGTTTGGGTTCTTATTCTGCCTAGCGAGTGTTGTCTCTTGCACGGGGCAGCTGAGGAACCGGGCTGGGAGCTCCTGATCACAGTGGATGGGTAACCAGCTGCTGACCTGGTGAGCCGGAGAGGTGGCTGGGAGCCAACGGGTGGTGCGGCGTGGGAGGTGACGGTGTAATAACATGTGACACTACTATTTGATCCGTGGCCAGCGCCTGCAGCTCCTTCCAGCATCCAGCTGCGGCGTCTTGTGCAACAAAGCCAATAAATCGGCCCTGTATCTCTCGGCAGCTGTGTCTGTGTCTGTGCCCGCCGCAGCCGCCCCTGCCTACCGGCGGGACGGGACGGTGGGGCTCGCGCGGCCCCTGAGACCGGTCAGGGCTTTGCACGGTGCCTCGTGGTGGTCTTGTGTGGTGGCGGTGCCCTCCGGTTAGTGGAGCGAGCCCGGTGGTCGGGAGGTGGCGGATCCAGAGGGTGGCAATCTCCGCTGCTGGCCCGTGGTCTGGAGCAGAGGAGTTGTTTGTCTGGTTACGGCAGCTGCTCTCAATTCCTCAGAAAGGGGAACCCGCCCTCCCTCGTCAACAGCTCGTGCGCTGGGGGTCACAGCAGTGCAAACAAAGCTGCGGTGAGGTGGAGAGCAAAGGCTTTAAACTTATGGCGTGGGGGAGGAACAGTACAGAGAAGAGCAAACAAGCCCCGGCCCTCGGGCCTTGCGCTGGGGCTGGGTGAGCTCCCCGTCCCCCCTCGCCAAGGCCCCCCGCACTGGGACGTGGTGGGGGGCGTTGGAGACCTCGCTCCCTCGCGGTGGTGCAGTGTCCTGGTTCGGGCTGGAACTCTATTCCCAATGGGTGTTTTCCCAACTGGCGCTTCCTTTGTTAACGCTGGTTGTGGTGGAGCAGGGACTCCTGCGTGGTTGGGGATTTCCTCTTGATCCAGGGTTTTGTAACATTATCTGATACTATCGAAGCTCTCTGAGTAAATATAGTGTCGTGTTTCTTAAAACACCCTTCTGTAAACTTGGAGCTGCTTATCTCACCCTTCAACTGCACTGCAAGGCTCTGCCTGCCACCCCCCCTCACCATTTGTTTTCCTGACGTGTCTGGGCACCCCCAGATTTTTGGAGGGCTCTTCCCTCTGACTCCTGCTGTGCCCAGCTCCGACCCTGCCTCCCCTCCCAGCCTGGCACGGCGCTGCGGGAAGGCCAGCTGCCGGCCTCGCCGGCTGGAGGATGAGGAGTTGGTTGGGAGGAGGGCCCGGGGAGCACTGGGGTTCCCTCCCCAGCCAGCAAAGCGGGATAGCTGGACCCTGGGCCGGGTCGCCGTGACCGGCTCAGTGGCCAGAGGCATGTGCCTGAGCAACGGCTGCTCCCCGGGCGCTGCGGGTTTCCCTCGGGCGTCTGCCCGGTCCCCCTCCCCGCGAGGAGCACAGGAAATAACTCATCCCTGCTCTCGGGGTAAACATCTTTCCCAAGAGCGAAACCACCCGGCCGGGACAAGCACCCGGCTGTAATTTACTCTCCGCGTGAGCGTCGTGCCGTGCCCTCCCACGCTCCGATCCACCTGGGCGATCCCAGCTTTGTTCTGGGGCCACGGGCAGGTCCCGAGCCCAGTGGGGTTGAGGGCTGTGCTTGCCGGCTCACGGGCCCAGCTTCGTTCCTCGCTGGAGTGGGAACTGCTCCCACGAGTGGCTGCTGAAGCGTGGGGGGGTCCCAGCCCCCTGAGCCCTCGTTTGACAGGACTCTTCCCACCTTACTGGAGGGCAGGTCCCCTGAAGCACCCCCCGGCAGCCACACGAAATGCCCTGACATGGAAGGGGAAGATAGTCCCCCTTGGCTGGGGGCTAAAATCCCCGAAGCCTGGGAGTCGGGCAGCACGCCAGTCCCCAGAGCTGCCCTGCGCTGGCCTTGCCCGTCAAGGACTTGTGTGGAAGCCCTGTGCCGTGGGGCGCCGATCCCGCCAGTGGGGCTGGGTTGCAGGGTCTCTGTGGGCCCCACCAGTGCCCAACCTGGGCCCCCCGCTGCGGGCAGTGCCAGCGGGGCAGTCAGCGATCCTCGCCCCCCCCCGCCTTGCCCCGTGTGCCAGCACCCCGCACAGCGCGCTCGCTTTCTGGCTGGAAGCGCTTTTATTGCTCACTCCGGCCCCGCTGCGCCCCTCTGCACGGAGGAACGTTCCCCCAACGCGCTGCCCCTGCTCTCACGGCCCCTCAGCCACACGGGTGGGCAGCAAGGGGCACGATCCTGCCCGGGCAGCCCACCGGCCGCCCCTGGGGGGGGAGCCGGGCAGCGCCCTCGACACCTCACTCGTGTTTGCAGAAGCTCTTCAGCGGCGCGGGCAGGTCCAGGCCGTCGATGGCCAGGCGGTGCACGATGTGCTTCTGGATGACCAGGCGGCAGAGGGTCTGCAGGGAGGGAACTGGAAGAGAACAGGAAGAAGTAGCTGAGCCGGCCGAGCCGCTGGCGAGGGTGAGAGTGGGGGGGTGTGGGGGAGACGGGCCCCGAGGTTCCCCGGAGTCACCACGTTTTGGGGCAGCGGTGGGTGAGCTTGCTCTGCGGCAGGAGCAGGCATCATCCTGCCCCGGGCTCGAGCCGGCTGTGCGGGAGAGCTCGTGCCAGGTCGGGCTGGGAGCTGGGGGGCCCCGGGCAGTGAAGTTCTTCCCATTACTCGGAGGAAGGGGGGAGGGCAGTTACACGCCCACGCCGTGCGTTACCACGGCTGGTTTGCATCTGCTTTCTCTGGGGGCTGTCGAGCGGCTCCCCGGGGGTCTCACGCCCCCACTGCACTTCCCTTTCACCCCGCTCCCTTGGTCTGCTTCCCCCGGTGCTGGTGCCAGGCTGCCGGGTGGGCGCCTGCGGAGACGGTGCCCTTGAGACAACCACCTCCTGAGCCGTCCCCGTGGCCGCGCACACGGGAGGTTCCTGCTCCTGTGACGCGCCTCTGGGGGATTCCTCTTGCCGGAGCCCTCGGTGGCTCCGCAGCGCGGGCGCAATTAGCTGCAGCCGGCTCTCTCCTCGGATTTTAAACGAGAGCCGGCTCCGGCGCAGCCTGTGGGCCTTGGCTCCTCCGCCGCCTCCGAGAGCCAAACCGGGGGAGAGCCGCAGGTGAGACCTGGCCGTTTCGCCCGCTCGCAGCCCAGCACCCCTCCGGCTGCGGGGCCGGTGCCCCCGGGGGGTCACACCAGCACCGGGCAGAGCAGAGCTCTGCCGAGCACGGCACGCTGCGCCCAGCCATCTCCCGACCTTGGTGCTGGTTTTGGATGGCTGGAGCGCTTCTCTGCGCCGCGGCGGCACGCCGAGTGCCGGGTGACGAGCGGCCAATGCCCTTTGCCTCTCCTGCCCCCGGTGCTGCATCGTGTGTCACCGGCGGCTCAGCTGCTCAATTCTGGGTTTCACTTCACCAGCCGGGCCCCGGCCAGGAGCAGAACCGCACTGAGGCTGATTTTTAGACCCTGCGGAAGTGCTGCAGAAACCGGAGCTCCTGAAATCTTGGTGGAGGGGAGGAAGCCAGATTGTGCCTCCGCAGCGGTGCCTGTGCCAGCCACAGCGTTTGCAGGGGCCCGTGGCCACGGCGGGACGGGGCGGCTCTCCCAGAGGTATGTGTGGCCAGGGCGAGTCCCTCGCCAGTGGCCGGGACGGGCCCCCCAACGCGGCTCAGCGGCCTCCTGCTCCGGTCGGTCACCCCCAGCACGCTCCCGGGGCCGGGGGGCTGGGCAGATTTGACCCCCCCGCCTGGATACTCCGGCTCACGGCAGCCAGCTGGGAGAATCCCGGATTTCAGCCTTGAAACAAGCAGCTGAACTTTGCAGCGGTGAGAGAAGCTGGGGCTCGGGGCAGCTGCCACCACACAGGCGGGCGGTCTCCTGGCTCCCACCTAATCCTCGGCATCTGCTGACTTTCCCAGTATGGTGCTAATTAGCATTTATTAGCCTGACTCCTCACAGGAGCCAGTGACCAGCACCAGCCGTCCCGGCCGCTCCCCAGCCAGCCGAGCGGTGCCGGGTGTTGCCCAATCTGCGGTGGCATCACGGGGTGTCTGCCCAGGGCACCCCGCAGCCGGGGCACGCGGCAGGCGCGGGGGCACGGCGTGCGTGCCGGGGTGGGCAGAGGGCGCAGCCGGATGTTTTGGTGCCAGGGCAGGGTGTTGTTCGGCCCCGGGCTGCCGCGTGCCCGTGGGGTGAGGCCGGGCACGGCGAGGGCTCCCCAGCCCCCGGGGCAGCAGCTCCGTCAGCGCCGGCACAGGGCTCCGGTCAGGGGTGTCTGTCTGTCTGTCTGGGGGGGCGGGGGCACGGCGCTGCAGTCCCGCAGCCCCCGCGCTGGGGCAGCCCAGAACACCCACCCCCGTCGCTCCGCTCGGGGAGGGCGACCAGGGTGGGCTCTGCCCCCGCACAGCCCCGCACGGCAGAGCGTTCGGCCGGCGCTGCCCGTCGGCGGCAGCGTGGGGTCTCCTGGCCCCTCTGCCCCCTGCCACGCTCTGACGCGGCGTTGGGGACTAGGGGGTGACCCACCGGAGCCCCCCCTCCCCAGCTCCCGGCCCGTGCAGGACGTGCCCCGGCGAGGGGACAGGTACCTACAGCCGTATTCCACCGGGATCACCCGGACGCTCTTGGTGGAGGCAAAGACGTCGACCACGGCGTAGAGCGGGCGGGCGGCGGGCAGGCGGCGGGCGCTCGGCCCCATGTCCTCTCCGTTGATGACGATGTGCATGTCGGCGGTGCCGTCGGGGCACAGGGTGTACAGCACGCCGATCCGGCTGCGCCGGGCCGTGGCGGGCAGCACGTTCATCTTGTAGAGGTCGTCCAGGATGTGGCTGTAGCGCCCGGGCCTGCTGCGCCCTACCAGCGCGTCGCGCGGGATCCTCACCCTCTCGATCAGCAGAAAGGGCTCCTGGGGGGGGCCCCGCGCCCGCGCCGGCGCCTCCTCCCCCTCCGCCGCGACGCGGTTGTGGCTCCGGGTGATGGCGAACACCCAGGTGTCCCCCATGTTGACCAGGTCGGGCAGCGAGTACTCGGGGACCACCTCCAGGCTCTGGGGGTCGTGGGCCGTCAGCCCCACGCGCAGGTGCCCGCACCAGCCCAGCTCCTTCTCCTCGATCTCCACCAGGAAGATCTGCCCGGGCGCCAGCGGCTCCTGGCTGAAGCAGAGCCCGTTGGCGAAGCTCTCCACGCGCGTGGCCCGCGTGCGCGAGGCGTCCAGGCGGACGTTGGTGCCGTGGACGCGGTGGAAGCGCGCGGCGAGGCGGCACCGGGCGGCCATCGCCCCCCCCCCCCCCCCCCGCTGCTATTTTTAACCGGCCCCGTCGCAGCTGTGACGCGGCGGTGACAGCTCCGGGGACAGCCGGGGCGGCCGGGGGGGGTCCCAGTGCCGCGGGGGGAGCACGGGGAGGGGGGAGCCCACAACGGCTGGGGCGGGCCGGGCCCCACCGGCCGCTCTGGGGCTGCCCCGGTGCTGCCCGGTGCCCGGTGCTGCCCAGTGCCCAGCTCTGCCCGGTGCCTGGCTGTGCCCGGTGTCTGGTTGTGCCCGGTGCTGCCCCGTGCCCGGTGCTGCCCGGTGCCTGGCTGTGCCTGGTGCTGCCCCGTGCCCGGTGCTGCCCGGTGCCTGGCTGTGCCCGGTGTCTGGCTGTGCCCGGTGTCTGGTTGTGCCCGGTGCTGCCCCGTGCCCGGTGCTGCCCGGTGCCTGGCTGTGCCCGGTGTCTGGTTGTGCCCGGTGCTGCCCAGTGCCCGGTGCTGCCCGGTGCCTGGCTGTGCCTGGTGCTGCCCCGTGCCCGGTGCTGCCCGGTGCCTGGCTGTGCCCGGTGTCTGGCTGTGCCCGGTGTCTGGTTGTGCCCGGTGCTGCCCCGTGCCCGGTGCTGCCCGGTGCCTGGCTGTGCCCGGTGTCTGGTTGTGCCCGGTGCTGCCCAGTGCCCGGTGCTGCCCGGTGCCTGGCTGTGCCTGGTGCTGCCCCGTGCCCGGTGCTGCCCGGTGCCTGGCTGTGCCCGGTGTCTGGCTGTGCCCGGTGTCTGGTTGTGCCCGGTGCTGCCCCGTGCCCGGTGCTGCCCGGTGCCCGGTGCTGCCTGGTTGTATCTGGTGCCTCGTGCCCGGTGCTGCCCTGTGCCCAGCTCTGCCCGGTGCTGCCCGGTGCCTGGCTGTGCCCAGTGCTGCCCGGTGCCCAGTGCTGCCCGGTGCCCAGTGCTGCCCGGTGCCCGGTGCTGTATCTGGTGCCCCGTGCCCGGTGCTGCCCGGTGCCCGGTGCTGCCTGGCTGTATCTGGTGCCCAGCTCTGCCCGGTGCCCACCGGACGCCGACCCCCCCCCCGCCGCAGCCGGCCCCGCTCCCCCCCCGTGGGCACCGTGGGGGCTCCCGCGTGGTGCCCCGGGTCACGCACCGCGTGTCTCCCTCCGGGACCGCCCCCCCCCCCCCCCCCCATTGGTTTCGCCCCCCCGGGGGGTCCCGGCCCGAATCGTTCCCACGTGCGCCCGCGGGAAGGGGGCGGGGCCCGGCCGACGCTCGGGGCGCTGATTGGCCACCGTGTGGCCCCGCTCGTATCACGTGAGCACAGGAGGTCATATGGGCGGGTGTCATGTGCCTGCCGGGATCGCTGCTTGCGGGAGCCGCACCGGGAGCGGCCGGGGTCAGCGGGGGGGGGGGGGGGTCGGGATCGGGACCGGGGGGGGGGCCGGGTTGGGGGGGGTCGGGGGGCACTGCGGGCGGGCCAGGACCGGGGGGGTCGGGAGGGACCGGGACGGGCTGGGGGGACCGGGGAGCACCGAGGGGGCCGGACCGGGCCGGGGGGGCACCGGGGCGGCCGTGGTTCGCTGCCGGGGCGATCCCGGGGCCGTTCCCCGCCGGCAGCGCCCCGAACCCCCTCCCGCCCCCCCCCCCCCCCCCCCCCGCAGATGGGGCCGGTACTGCTGTGCACGCTGCTGCTGGGGCTGGGGCTGGTCTGCGCCGCCCCCCCGGGCCACGAGGTGACGTTCCTGCCGGGGCTGGCCAAGCAGCCCGCCTTCCGCCACTTCTCGGGCTACCTCTGCGCCGGGCCGGGCAAGCACCTGCACTACTGGTACGTGGGGCCGGTGCTGGGGGGCAGCCGGGGCGGGGGCCCGGCCGGCTGCTGAGCGCTGACAGCCGCATCTCCGCAGGTTTGTGGAGGCCCAGAGCGACCCCCAGAACAGCCCCTTGGTGCTGTGGCTCAACGGGGGCCCCGGGTGCAGCTCCATGGAGGGCTTCCTGAAGGAGCACGGCCCCTTCCTGGTCAGTAGCCGCAGCCGCCGCACGGCTCGGGGCTGGCAAGCTGCGCGGCACGAGCCGTCCCGCTGAGGCCAGCCGGGTCGTGCCCGTCGGTCACTGCCTTCCGCTTCCGCAGATCCAGCCCGACGGGGTCACGCTGAAGTACAACGACTACGCCTGGAACAAGGTACGGGCGCCGCAGCCGGCCGTGGCCGTGGGGAGGGGGCAGCCCCGAGTCAGTTCCTCCTGCCCTCTCCGTGGGGCCGAGCGTCCCACAGCCCCGTTTCCCAGCACGCCCTCCTCCCCTCGACTCTGCCGTCGAGCCAGGCAGGAACGTGGCCCAGCCCTGGGGCAGGTCACCGCTGCCGGGGCCAGCAGCCCCCTGCCCTGCCCCACCGGGCTGGGGGGCTCTCCCCCTCACCTCTGGCTCCTCTGCCATCCCTGCAGATCGCCAACATGCTCTACCTGGAGTCTCCCGCGGGCGTCGGCTTCTCGTACTCCGATGACAAGAAGTACGCCACAAACGACACCGAGGCGAGTGACCTGCCCCCTGCCCGCCCCGGGCGCTGGGGGTCCTGCCTTGCTGCCTGACCCCCCATCTCCTCCTGCCCGCAGGTTGCTCGCAACAACTACCTGGCGCTGAAGGATTTCCTCCGGCTCTTCCCCGAGTACTCCAAGAACGATCTCTTCCTCACGGGGGAGAGCTACGGGGGGGTCTACATCCCCACGCTGGCCGAGTGGGTGATGCAGGACCCCAGCCTCAACCTGAAGGTGAGCGGCTGGGCTCTGCCGCCGGCCTGGGCCGGGGAGCGGAGGGCCTGGCCCGTCCCGGCCGGGGCTCTCGAGCAGCACCGGGGTGGGGCCCGGCCGCGCAGCCGGTGTGTGGGGCCCCTCCAGGGTGTGGGGCGGGTCTGGCCCCGTGGCTTTCATCTTCTCCTGGGGTGCTGGCAGCGGCTGCGGGCGGACGTGTGCGTCCCTGCTGCGTGGGACAAGGGGAGCGTTCCCAGCCACCCCCGGCCCTTCCTGTTCCCTCCGTGGTGTAAACAGTGCCGTATCTGCTTCCTGCCTGCCGCTGCGGCTGCCCTGCAGGGAGCTGGAACACAACGGGGTTGTTTTCTTCTTGCCTCTCAGGGAATCGCTGTGGGAAATGGCCTCTCATCCTACGAGATCAATGACAACTCCCTGGTTTACTTTGCCTATTACCACGGCCTGCTGGGGACCGAGTAAGAGGAGGGGGAGAGCTGCTGCAGGCGCGCTGTCCCTGCGCGAGCGGGACGGGGGCACGGCCCGGCACGGGGCTGGCCGGCTCGGTGGTGTGCGGGACAAGGGAAGCTCCTGGGCTGACGTGGGCCAGCAGCTGGGCTGTGGAGGTGGCCCCTTGCCCGGGGCAGCTCCCGTGGCCGCGTTTGTTTGTGGGGCACACGGGGCAGCGGGCAGGGAGCCTGCAGGGCGGCTGCGGCCACGGGTGCCGGCGCTGTGCCGGTGTTGCCGTCTGGGCCACGCGTTGCAAGCCCCTGGTCTCTGCCCACAGGCTGTGGAAGGACTTGCAGGCCTTCTGCTGCTCCCAAGAGAAGTGCAACTTCCATGACAGCTCCAACCTGAACTGCACGCTCAAGGTGAGGGGAGCCAGAGCCCCCGTGCGTGCCCAGGGCGGGTGTCTGTGAGCAGCACCCACCCGCCTGGCTCTGGAGGGGCCGAGGGTCCCTGCACTGTCCCGCTGGGTCCCAAAGCTTCTTGCGGCTCGTGGCAGATGGAGGAGATGATTCAGATTGTAGAAGAGTCCGGCCTCAACATCTACAACCTCTACGCCCCGTGCGACGGCGGTGTCCCTGGCAGCCTGAGGTGAGAGTTGGCCCCAGGGAAAACGGGTCTCCAGGCCCTGGCTTGCTCTGGTTTGCAGCGTGTGGGGTCCCGGCTGGCAGAGGGGCGTGGTGGGCTCCTTCCCTCGGGGACTGGGGGACCGCGTCTGGCTGCTGTCGAGGTCTCCCCCAGGGAGGGCCCTGAGCCCGCCCGTGCTCCTCCAGAGCTCTCAGCCCGTCCCCGTGCTCGTTCCGGCGGCAGGTACGAGGGTGATTATCTCATCACACACGACCTGGGCAACTCCTTCATCCGGATGCCGATGAGGTTCTCGTGGCGGCAGGTGAGCGCGGGCTGCGAGCGTCCCCTGCCCGGCCGGCGGCGCTGCCCGCGGCACGAGCGGGCCGGGAGCGCCGGGGGCTGCTGTGGCAGGGGGCTCTCCCGACTCTCTCCCAGAACCTGTTCCGGATGCCGGTAGCTCGGAACAAGGTCCGGATGGACCCGCCCTGCACCAACTCCACAGCCCCCAGTACGTATCTGAACTCCCGGGAGGTGAGGAAGGCTCTGCACATCGCCCCCGAGGCCCCGGAGTGGCAGGTCTGCAGGTGAGCAAGCCCCCGGGCGGGGAGGGGCCGCTGCCAGCGCCGGCGCCCGCCTGACACCGGCGCTTCCTCCGCAGCTTCGAGGTGAACCGCGGCTACAAGCGCCTGTACATGCAGATGAACGACCAGTACCTGAAGCTGCTCGGAGCCACGGTGCGTGCGGCGGAGCCCGCGGGGCCCCGGGACCGGCTCTGCCAGCCCGGCCGGGGCTGCTGCCCTGCCGAACGCTCACCCTCCCCCTGCTCTGCAGAAATACCGCATCCTGGTCTACAACGGGGACGTCGACATGGCCTGCAACTTCCTCGGGGACGAGTGGTTTGTGGACTCGCTCTGCCAGAAGGTAAAGCCGGGGCCGGCTGTGTGCCGGGGCCGGGCTGTGTGCCGGGGCCGGGCTGTGTGCCGGGGCCGGCTGCGTGCCGGGCTGTGTGCCGGGGCCGGGCTGTGTGCCGGGGCCAGCTGTGTGCCGGGGCCGGGCTGTGTGCCGGGCTGTGTGCCGGGGCCGGCTGTGTGCCGGGGCCGGGCTGTGTGCCGCGGCACTGAGGGCGCTGCCGCCGCTCCAGGTGCAGGTGGCTCGCCGGCCCTGGCTCTACACTGAGGGAGGCGAGAACCAGATCGGGGGCTTCGTGAAGGAATTCACCAACTTGGCCTTCCTCACCGTCAAGGTAGTGCTGGGGGGGGGGGTCCGTGGGCGCACCGGTGCCGTGGTTGGCGCCGCTGAAGGTGCTGGCGGGGCTGCAGCAGCCCCACGGCCGGCTCTGACCCGCCGCCCCCCTGTTTCCCGCAGGGAGCCGGGCACATGGTGCCCACGGACCGGCCGCTCGCTGCCTTCACCATGTTCACCCGCTTCATTAAGAACGAGCCCTACTAGGAGGGGGGGAGGCAGCGCCTGGCGCCCCGGCACCTCCCGCGCCGCCCGTCCTCGCTGCAGCTCAACTGTGAAACGAGTCACTCCTGCAGCTGGGGGGCTCCCCCCCGGCCCGGGGGCCGGCGCCGGGCTGGGCGCGGTGGTGGGGGGTGACGAGCCCCCAGGGCTCTGTCCTCGCTGGGTGAGGAGCCAGGGCTGGGTCCCTGCTGCAGCCTGGCCTCCTCCCCGGCCGGGCCGGCAGCGCCTCCCCCCGGGCCGGAGCAGGCCCCACCGCTTCCCCACGGCCCCCGCACGCACACAGCCCTGGGTGGGCTCCGAGGCAGCTGCCCCCCCGGCAGGGAAGCTCCGTTCCCGGGGCGGCTGCGGGCAGCTGGGCGCGCTTCCTGCAGGGGCTTTCTGCTCCCCCCAACCTGCTCCCACACCTGACCCCGGTGAAGGAGGCTTACCACGAAGACAATCCCCCCCCCACCCCGCGGGCACGCAGTGCTTCTGGGAACTCGCAATAAACTGTCTGAACAAGGTGGTTCTGCTGCTCATTGCCCAGCTCCTCACCCTGCTCTGCTACCCCCCGCGCACCGAGCAGCTGGCAGAGGTGAGTCCGCGCCCCCCTCGCTGCAGGGGGTGACGGGGGCCTGGAGACAAACCACCCAGGCGAGCAGGGAAGAGCAGTTGCTCTGAGCTGTGTCTGCCCCCCAGCACCGGAGCCGGGGAGCAGCGCTCTGCCTCCTTCCCCACCTGCCCCAGCCGCTGGCAGCAGCCTGGGCACGTCCTCCAAGCAACGAGGCCGCGCGGGTCGGAGTCAAGTGGTTTATTAGTGTAAGGAGAAGGGGTGCAGCAGGGCTTCCCAGAGCGGCTGTCTCCGCCTTGCTGCTACCCGCCAGGGCACGGGCGCCCGGCAGGACCTGCCCGTGGTACCGGAGAAGCTGCTTCCTACCTACAGTCTACGGGTCCAGCCCGGGATCTGCCCTGGGTCCAGGGTGAAGGAGCAGGTGGGGAGAAGAGCTAGAGCTGGGGGGGATCCCCGCTGGGCTCGGCAGGCTGTGAGCTGGGGGTGGCAGGAGCCGGGCGGTATTTCTCGATCACCTCCCGCAGCCCCTTGGAGAAGTGGAGATCAGCTCCCACCGTGAGGAATCCCTGCGCAGGGGAAGAGTTGTTAGTGCAAGGCTGGGTGGGACTGCGCCTGCTGGGGGGGCCCAGGCTGTGTGTGTGTGTGTGTCCCCCACGTACCGCGTGGTTGGTGACCACCTCCCTGGTGAAGTCCATGCCTTCTGGCAGGGGGATCTGCACCCCCTTCTTGGTCCGCTCTGCGGGACGGGGGAGAGATGTGGTGAAGCCGAGTCCCGCCAGGCCCTGCCGCAGGCGGGCGGGGGGCACGCGGGGGGCACAGGGGGGGGCGGGTGGGGGGCACGGGGCGGCCGTTCCTACCGTTAATGATGGGCATGACCGTCAGCTGCAGCAGGGTCTTCAGCGGGGCCTGCAGCGAGAAGAGCTGGGGGGGAGAGGAGCGTGGGTGAGCGCAGCAGTGGAGGCCCTGCCTGCCTGGGCAGGGTGGGCTAGGAGTGTGTGGGGGGGTTATGTGCTGCACCGCCCCTCCCCGAGCCATGGCTGGGGGCTAGTGGGGGGGCTGGACCCCCCGGGCTGGCAGGGGTCCCCTCACCGCCAGCGACTCCAGCGCAGACTGCTTGGAGTAGATGCGAAACCTGCGAGGGAGAACGGCTGTGAGCGGGGCACGGGGGGGGCCTTCCCGCAGCCCCCCAGGAGCCCCCGCCGGCCGTACCGTCGCAGGTCCAGCTGCACCCGCAGCGCCTTCCCTTGCAGAAACACCTTGGCGCTCAGCTTGGTTTCCTAGGGAGAGGGAAGGCTGAACTGCAGCCCTGCTGCCCTCTTGCTCCACAGGCCCAGCCGCCCCTCAGCCCTGGGACGCCAGAGCCTTCCCCCGTGGGGTGGGAAACGCTCTCCCCAGGGGTGCAGCCCCGGCCAGCCCCCCACTCACCATGGCCATGCTGGAGAGCTGGACCGGGGGGCGGCCCGGGGGCACCAGCGAGATATTGAGGAAGGCAGAGACGGAGACAGAGGTGCCCGAGGGTTTGATGACGCAGCGCGGGGGAGCCGACACCTGCAGCACCAGCCGCAGGGGCGCATCCACGGCCGGGCTCTGGGGAGGGCAGGAGAGCGGGAGGCACGGAGCTGGGCGGGGGGGGGCTCTGCCCCAGGGATGCCCCCACCCCTCCCGGCTGCTGCTCTCACCTGCATGAAGATGGTCCCGAAGAAGGTGGCCCTCAGCAGAACCTCCAGGTCCTTGGGCACCTGCAGGGAAGACAAACCACGGGAGGGTAAGCGAGCCGTTGCTGTTGATCCCAGCAGAGCCGCTCCCTCCATGGCCCCCCTTCTGCTCTGCCCTCCCTCCCCCCCGCCTGGCAGCAGCCCCCTGCCCGCAGCGAGCCCCCGGGCACCACTTACCTTCTCCCCCTGGAGCTCCATGGCCAGCACACCCTCCTGGAAGTACGCGTGCATGGCCGAGTCGAAGAAGTACTCTGAGAAGGCAACGTAGACCATGCGCTCGGTCTCCTTGATCACCGGCTCCACCGCATGGTTCTCCAGCTCCTGCTGCTCTCTTGCACGGGGGAAGAACATGCCCTGGGCCAAGAGCAGGAGATGTTTCTGCAGCCGTAGCGCAGCCCGCCCCGGGTGCCCAGGGCGCAGGCTGGCACAGCCGCTCCCTCAGGACGGTGGGAGGGCTGGCAGGGCAGGATCCAGCCTTCACCTTGAAGTCTAGGTCCAGGGTGTCCGTGGAGACAGCCGGATCCCGCAGCAGGGAGTAGTCAATGCCGACGTGCTCGTCCACATAGTTCCTCACTGCCGGGGAAGGTGTGCTGGCCTGACCAAGCCGGGGGGCTGCCCGGCAGCCCGCGGCCCAGCTCTGCCCTCCCCACTGTGAGCTGGGTCCGGTCCCTGCCCCCCGGGCAACGCTCACCTGGCACCGTGTCCAGCACGGAGTTCAGCAGCACCAGGCTGGCGTGCTCCAGGGACGGGCAGATCTGAAAGGGAAGGGCCTGGGCTGAGGGCAGGGTCGCCCCCAGGTCCGGATGAGGACCCAGACCCTCCTGCTGCTGCAGGGCTGGGCAAGGCCAGGCCCCCCCGGGGCCCAGAGCCTCCCGCCGCTGCTGTACCTGCTGGCTGAGGAGGAAGCGCATCCCTGTGACGATGAAGGTGCTCAGGAACTCGTAGACCTTCCTGCAGGACACAACGGCAGCTCTGCGGCTCCAGCCCTGTCCCTCCATCCCCGAGGTCCCAAGGGTGCAGACCGCAGGGTGGGGGAGCCGTGGACAGGCAGAGCTGGCCCGGTGGAGGGACAGGGCTGCCGCGGTGGGGCCGGGTGTACCTGAGTGTGCCGGAGAAGCCTGCGTGCATTCTGGCAATGGAGGCGTTGCAGGTGATGTTAGAGATCTTCAGGCGCCCAGCCTCATCCTTGGCTAGCTGCAGCACTGTGTGGATGTGGACGCCATCCGCAGAGGCGTTGATGGACCCGATGTCATAGCTGGAAGTGAGTAAAGCAGGTGAGAGGAGCACACAGCTCCTACCTGCACCCACAGCCAAGCAGCGGCTGTGGCCCAGCCAGGGGGGTAGGCTGGTACCCAGGGGAGCAGGAGCGGGGGGCAGCTCACAAAAACCAGTAGAGCAGCTGTCTCCGGAAGCGTAGGCTGATGGAGGCGTTGTTGATGTTGAAGACGAGGTGCTGCTGAGGCTGGAAGTGCAGGTCAGAAAATGCCAGCTGCAGGTCCATCACCTTGACCCTGCAGGGGTGGGGACAGAGACGGTCAGACAGACAGATGGACGCAGGGAGCTGCCTGCACGGGGAGCGGGCAGCACTCACTGGCTGATGTTGTAGTGGAACTGCCCCTCCTTCCCGTGCAGGTCTGACACCGTGATGTTCTGCAGCTCCTGCTCCACGAAGCGCAGCCCCTCCTGCTTCACTGCAAAGCAAAGCGAGCCTGGGCTGGCCCCAGCCGGGCTGTGCCGCCCTCCCGGCAGCATCCCCCCAGCCCGACCCCGGCTCCCCCCCAGCCCCTCCGCCTGCGGGCAGGGGTCCCAGGAGCAGCGTCCCAGCCCGTCGCTCAGGCAGGCCCCGGGAGCAGGGTCCCATCAGGCCCCTTACCCAGGTCCAGCCCCTTGGAGGTAATCCGGATCTTGCAGCCAGGTGGGCTGTGCGAGGTCGTGACCAGGCAGGGCAGGAGGAGGAGGAGGAGGAGGAGGAGGCAGCTGCCGGCAGCCATGTCGCACCTGGAGGCAGAGAGTGGGGTCAGCACAGGCTGGCCCACCAGGGACACCCAGGGAGGGAGGCGGCTGCTGCCCAACCTGCTCACAGCCCCGGGGCAGGGGATGGCCCCGAGGAACCCCACAGCTCCACTGCTCCCCACACCCCAAAACCCTCTGATGCTGCCCAGGTCCCCATCACCTGAACCCCCTGTGGGCCAGCAGCCCCCGAGTGGCACAGCCCCCACCCGAGGGTGCTGCACACAAGCCCCCCTCACGCACTCTGCGGGGCCTGCAGGGTCCCCCGTCCACAGGGAACACTCCCTCCCGCCAGCCCCGGCCACGTCCCGCCCTGCCCTGAACACACCCAGCCCCCAAAACCACACGGCAAGGCGTGAGCTGCTGCAGCGGGGAGCCCCAGCACCCCGTGGAGGAGGGAGCCCGCTCCTGTGGGGCCGCCCCACAGCCCTCCCCGCCCCACGGAGATGCGCTGCCTCCCCCCACACCGGGCTGGGATGGGGGGCTGGAGCCCCCCCATCCAGCAGCAACAGGCAGAGCTGCCTGCAAGACTGGGGGGATGGCCCGGGGCTCCCCCCACAGCGTTTTCCCCCCAGTTCTCTGCAAGGGCAAGGGCGGGGGACGCTCCTGCCCAGGGCTGCCATCCTTCCCCGAGGCCGTGCTCAGACCCGGGGTTCGCCTACACAACGCCAGCTCGGTTTGGGTACTTACAGGGAGGCTTGTCCTCGGCTCCCCTGGCGTGGGGAAGCTGAATCACGTGAAGGGAGGGAGGGAGAACACCAGTAGCTCCAGGAGTTTCTTTTGAGCCGGCTGAGGTTCCCCTGCCTTTATATATCCCACCAAACGCCACTCCTTGCGAGCCCACAGCTGGGAGGAGACAGCGGGATGGGGAGGATGCAGGTCCCCCGCACGCCGAGCCCGGCAGCCTGCCAGCACAGGCAGAAAGGCAGCGGGTTGCTGAGCCGCCCCGGCGCCGGGCCAAGCGCGCAGCCCTCCTCCCCCGCCACGGCCACGGCTCCCCGCGTGTCCCGCACGCACCGCAGCCCCGGCAGCCCCGCGAGGGGCACGCGTGCCAGCGGGACCCGGTGGGTTGGCCACCTCGGGGCAGCCCCCCACAACCTGCCCTACAAATCCTCCGCCGGTGTCCAGCTCCCCCAGCTCCAGCTCACGCAGGCCCCGCGCCGGGGGTGCCGACAGAAGCGGCGACGTGAACCCCGGGCAGAGAAGCTGCCGAGGCTGCCAGATCCCCAGCGCTGCTCTGACAGCCGCTGCCCAGGCCCCCAGCCCCAACCAGGCAGTTCGGGGGCCGCAGGACGCGCCTCCGCCTGGGCTCGCCGAGCCCGCTGCCGGCAGCCTGGAGAGCAGGCTATCCCTCACGGCACGGTGAGGGGTGCTGCCAAAGCAGCCCCGGCAGCACCCGCTCCTGCGAGCGCCCGTCATGCAGAGGACGGGCAGCTCCTCGGGCCGGGGCGGCCCCCCAGCCCTGCCTGAGCGAGCTGCAGGGGCACAGCCGAGGGGCTGCCCCTGCTCTCACCATCCCCTTTGGCCGCTCGAGCCCCCCGAGGTTCACACCGTGTCCCCCCACCGAGTCCCCTCTCCCCCAGGCCACACAATGAGGGGTTGGTCTCCAGGCAATTATCTGTGCTGGAGGGCAGCAGAGCCAGGCTGCGCGGGGCTCGTGCACGGAATGCGGGGAGACTTAGTGCTTACACAGCACTTATCCCTCCAGAACTGCTTGGCAAGCATTAACTCATTAAACTGACCCCGGTGCTCCCAGAGCAGAGGGCAGGACTTCTGAGAGAGCAAGCAGGTCAGGCTGCTGCCCAGGAGGATGGAAAAGCCCTTCAGAAAGCCGGGCAGCAGGAACGCTCCAGAGGCAAAGGGCAGGGCCCCGTGGCTAGGGGTGACAGCCACGAGCCAGCGCCAGCCGTTGTCTGCCCAGGGAGCTGGGCCCACAGGCCCTCGGCAGGAGGGGAGCAGCCACAGGGAAGGGATGGCAGAGGCTCCTGCAGCCCTTCCAAACCTGTCCCAGCCCAGGAGGAAGGAGCCGGTAACCGCCACGTCACCTTTCCTCACCCCACGTCCTCCTCTAGCGTGCCCTGCACTGGGCGCGAGCTGCTCCCGAGTACCACGCTGTCCCAGGGGGGCCTGGGCTGCGCACCCCAGGGCTCCGGGAGGACACAACCGGTGGGCGCAGGGGAACCAGCGAGCTGGGCCCCGGTGCCGTGCCGGTGGGAGCTCCCGCCACGCCGAGGGGGGCAGCCGGGCACACCCCCCGACCGGAGGGCAGCTGGGCCACGGGTCCTGCCGCAGCAGCCGGCAGCCCCAGGGCACGGGAGCGATCCCGAGGGCCAGCTGAGGAGCACGGCTGCCCGCTCGGTGCCATCGTCCCACCACGCGCACCCACCGCGGCCTTTCTGAAGGCTGACCCTGAGGGCCAAATTAACAACTAAGCGAGCGGGCGCGCAGGGAGATTTTCCCGGGGGGGCTCCCGTCAGCAGGCACACGGACACCGACCGCGCTCGGGCAGGGAGCGGCCGCCGGGCCCCGCCGGGCGGCAGAAGCCCCGCTGCGGGCACATCAAGGCGCTGCCCCCGCCCTGGGGCCCGGCCGCCCGCTCCGCCCCGGCGCCGCTGCGCTTCAAAGACCCTTCGGCGGCGGCCTCGCCCTGCCTTCCGCCGGGAACCGCCCGCGGGCCGCAATGACAGGCTGCGCGGCCCGAAATAGCGGCCACCGGGCGGCCCAGCCCCGGCACCGCCCGCCCGGCCCGGCCCGCAGCGCCGCCCAAAATGGCGCCCGGGCAGGGGGAGGCGCCGCCCGCCCTCCGCGCATGCGCCACGCCCGCCCGCCCGAGCGCGGGCCGCGCTCCGCGCAGGCGCCCTCCCCGCGGGAAGGGCGGGGAGGGCACTGCGCGTGCGTCAGGCGTCGGCCGGGCGGCGACGCCTGCGCAGTGCCGGGGGCGGGGCGGCCCCGCGCCTGCGCGCCGGCGGCCCGCGGTCCCGGCGCAAGATGGCGGTGGCGGTGGGGCGGGCGAGGCGGAGGTGGGGCGGCGGCGGGAGACGGAGCGGTGTCCGGTGCCTGCAGCCCCCGACCTCACGCCCAGGTAAGCGGCGCTCCCGCGCGTCCGGGGCCGGCCCCCGGGGCGGCAGCAGGAGGAGCAGGAGGGGGCGGGCGGCGGCGGGCGGGAAGGCGGCGCGGGCCCGCGGCCGCCATCTTAGAGCGCGGCCGCCCGCCCCGGCTGACCGGGCCGCCGCTCCCGCCGCCGCGCCTGCGCGCGTCCCGGCGGCTCCTCCCCCGCGGCGCCGTAACGGCCTCCTGTCTCCGCAGCGGCCCCCGCGGGGCAGGCGCGGGACGCCCCGCTATGAGGATGCGGCCCCGGCGCGCCAGCGGCGAGCACGGAGCGACGGCCACGCGTCCCGCCAGGCAGCCCGCCACCGTAAGTACTCGCCTGCCCGGGCCTGCTTAGGCCGTGCCCCCGGACTCCTCCCGTCCCGCCTGCAGAGCTGCCGCCGTCGCCGCCTCCGCTCCGCACACGCCGGGCCCCGGTGCCTGTGGCCGCCCGCCGGTCCCGGCCCGCCGCGCAGAGGAGCTCCGTCCCACCGCCGCCTCCGGGACAGCTGCCGGCAGCTCTCCCCGCACTGCCCGGCAGCACGCTTCCCCTCCGTCCCCGGCGCGCTCGCCGCGCGGGAGCTCGGTGCTCCGCTCAGCCCCTGTCCCGCCTAGCCGGGCGCCAGGGCTGGCCCGCAGGGAAGGGAGACGTACCGGGGGAAGGAGGTGCTGGCCTGGCTCCCAGCCTCCTGAAGCAGCTGTGCTTCTGGGATGAGGGAGAACCTTCCTGTGCCCCGGGGGGCTGTCACGGCTCTCCTTTGTCTGCGTTTGCTGTTGTCTTGTATAAAATCCTACCTTGGTGAAATGGAAACAAATAACGATCCTGTTTGTTGTACTCCTTTGCTTTGTGTCTTCTTCCACCTTGCTGTGGTCTCTCTGGTTGTGCTGCTGCTCCTAGGTTGTAAGCTCTCTGGGCAGGGACAGCGTTCTACTGTGTCTGTGAAGTACTGTATGCATTGCCACGGCGTATAAAAACAATACCGTAATCACCATAAAATGCTTACTCTGGATCCCTTTCACTGTCTAACTCCCAATACTAGTTACATAAAAGTAGAGTTACTTCTGTCAGGATTCCTGTTAGTTTGCTTTTTTCCTTTTCCCAGACCTTAAGGGTACTTGGATTTAACGCTCATCGACATTGATCGAGTGATAAAACTTCTTGTCTGCTCCCACCACTCTAGTCGATTCATAAATGGGAGAAGGCAAAACCAGCAAACCCTTTTTAACAGCTGTTTTGAGTGATCAGTGGTGAAAAACACGGGCAAGTCGCTGCAGCTGGTGTGTGCTGTCCAGCCTGGAAAGACATTGATACCCAGCACTATCTGTAACTTCTTGGGATGCACCCTCGGCTCGCTCTGGGAGGTTTGGTCCCGTCAGTACGTAGCAGTTCGTTATAATGTGTTGTCTGTGTAACTTGCAGGACACATCAGCAGCCGCCTGTGCAAAGAGGGTTTTAGTTTCAGGAGGAGGGGCTGAACACATCCTTCCAACGTTCCTGCCCGCAGTGCTGCTTGATGAGGCTCCTGCCCTGCAGCCCTGGGCTCCGGTGTGCCTCCCTGCACCGATGGCCGCGACTCGGGCCTGAGCTGCTGCCGGTGGCTGGGCTGACCTTGCCGCCTTTCTGGCAGCTAGCTGAAGTGGCACGAGTGTATAGAGGGCACGGCGGGGCTGGAGTTCAGGAGGAAGTGTGAATAAACAAATATTGCACAACGCTCACCTGCTGAGGCCTTTAAACCTCCGTGATTGCATTGGCATGCTCTGTAGCAGACACTTTTGCCTGTGGGCTTGGTTACTGTTACCTGCCTAGTTCTGAGCCGACACCGAAACTCCAGGTTTCTGCAGTGTCCCACACCTGTCCCTGCTTACCCTGGCTGGAGGGATGGAAACGTCTTCCAAGATGCTGAAAGAGTCAAGTTCCCCAGCCCTGGCCTGCATCACACTGATTCCACAACCAGTACTGTAGACAACTTAGCTAGTGCCTACTAATTCTTGGTCATTGTTGGCTCCTACCGTTCTGCTCTTCTGAAATAGCCAGCAGAGTTTTTATGAACAGGAAAGGGAGTAAAGGTGCGTAAATCCAAATAACTTGCCTGCAAACCAAACCAGAGTTTTTACTTAAGAGATGATATACTGCTGGGGCTACTGTGGCCCTAACTTTGGTGTTGAATAGGGTGTCTCCAAAGGCCTGAACAGAGTAAAGTCACTGAGGTAGATGGCAATTATTTAAAATGCCTTGTTTCTCCCCAGTTCACTGCCGCTGTATTTAGGGCTGCCAGAGAGGAGCAATCTGCAGTGCTGTTTCAGAAACTTCCTCGGGGGAAGAGTGGTGACTCAGAGAGGAAAAGCCTGGCTGTTTCTCTCCAGCTGGCAACATTAAAATATGATTAAGAGAAGCTTTATTGTTTCAACAGACTTTCTTTTGCATAACTGTTGTTATGCAGATGAAAAAGTACCAAAGACTAAACATCCTGGCTGAGGCCTTGCAGCCAGTCTGGCCCTGGGACGTTTTAAGGAAAATAATTCAGGAGTTCCAACTCCCAGCCTGTGGTTCGCTGAACCACTGAAGCATTAGGACTACTTTATATAGCAGAAATTTTCAAATAAAAGCCTTTGTTTAAATTATGTGCAGTTACATGTGTGTAAATGTTGATTTAAACTGTCTCTGAGGATAAGAGGTCAGATGTGGCTAGTAGTATTAGCATGGCAGAAGGTGGTATGTGTTCACAGAGGAGTGTATTTTATTTTTGATGCTCTGGGTCCTGGTGTGTGGGACCAGACGCTGCACTCTTAGGAGAGATCTAGCTGAAAAGTTAGTATTTTGAGTGCTTGGCCTTAAGGACTCCCTGATTGACACCGTTTAAGGCTCAGCATTCCTCGTAGCTAACTGTATCTAGGATAACAGGTATTTTTCAGGGCTTAGGTGCTGTTTTGTGTGTACTGGTTCAAACCCTGGTTTATTGTCAGAATTAACTTGTAGTGCTACAGCTGCGTGGGCCAAGTGGATCTGGGATCTTTCCTGCCGTAGCCCAGATTTTATGTCTGTTTTTTTCTAGTGCAGTTGCTGAGAAATGGCCAATGAGAATCACGGAAGCCCTGCGGAGGAAGCGTCTCTCATGAGTCACTCACCTGGCACCTCCAACCAGAACCAGCCCAGCTCCCCCAAACCTATGCGACTGGTACAGGACCTGCCAGGTACTGACTCTGCCTCTGGGAAGGCCCAGCTCCCAGTTCTGCGGGGCCCTGGGAGCAGGGGAGGGAAGGCAGAGGGAGGCCAGGAACGATGCCCATTTCAGAGTGTGCTGTGGCAGTAATGGGGCCCTGAAGGGCAGGGCTGTTGTTCAGGACTGCTCCTGACTCTCTGTCTTCCCAGATGAGCTGGTGCAGGCTGGCTGGGAGAAGTGCTGGAGCAAGCGGGAGAATCGCCCTTACTACTTTAATCGCTTCACTAACCAGTCTCTGTGGGAAATGCCTGTTCTGGGACAGCACGATGTCATTGTAAGTACGCACTCGTCTGGAGGGGCTGTGGCGATACTGGGATATTCTGCAGGGGCAGATGCTGTGGTCTTGTGGACTTCAGATTGCACGTGTGGGAGGGTCTTCCCTACCTTCAGAACTGGTGGCTAAGTCCATCGTCTGGCTTGGTTCTGGTGAAATACTCCTCCTTCAGGTGCACGCTCGGGTAGTGCTGTTCCAGGTGTAGTGCACTGCTCAAAGGACACTCAACCTGGGAGAGCTGGGTTGCATTTTTCTCATCTGAGCCTTAAAAGAAGGCATACAGACACAGGTCTAGAAGAGAATTTTTTAGCTTTCTGCAGGTGTGAGTGTTGGTGTCTTTATTTCCATCCATGTGGGAGCCTGGGACAGTGAAATGGGAAGTGAAGAAGGTTTATTGCCATTCATTTGGGACTCTGTGGTGGCAGCAGATGAACTCACCTGGTCTGCTGTTGTTGTTTGGACACCCACAGTCAGACCCTCTGGGATTGAATGCGGCTCCGATGCCACTGGAAGGTGGGATGATAGATACCTCTGTGGAGAGCAAGCAAAGGAAGAGGAGGTTCTCTGAGGAGGTTCCACCAAGCGGCAACAGTGTGAAAAAGCCTAAGGTGGGTCTGGTGCTGTGAAACAAATGGGCTTAAGGATGTTGTTCTAACTGAAACCTAGGGGGTCTGGAGCTTGGACCTATTTTTTTTTTTTCAACTGTGCAAGGTCAGGCCACACTAGTATAACTTAAGCTGTGTCAGCTGACACTCAGAAAGTACAAAAGTGGATCCAGACTCAAGTCCTGCCAAGTTGTCATTTCTCTCTTCCAGCTTGAGGTGAGTATGGGAGTTGGGAGGTAGCAGGTCATGACTGAGAAACGTGGTAGCTTGCATGTCTGTGTTAATTCATGCCAACAGCAGGCAAAATGTGCTCTAGCAATTCACAGGGGTATCCCGAGTGGTGTACTGGTGCAGGATTGTTAGGTATACTGGGTTTCTTCCCCTTTACATGTCTCTGTGGGGCAGTAATTCATCTTTTACATGCACAGGCGGACGTCCCAGGGAACCAAGCTGCTCAACCAGTCCCCAGCTCTCCCAGTATTCCAGGAACCTCTGTTTTGAAGGCATGGTGTGTTTCACCTGAAGATAAACAGCAAGCAGCTCTTCTCCGACCAACTGAGTGAGTTGTCTCCATTTCTCTTCTGTTGTTTTCTCAGTGGTAGATTAGAGACACCTGGTTTTCCAGACATACTTGAAGAAGAGCCTGGGAAACATAACACCCCCCCTGTGTCTTTGCAAGGAGTCTTGATTTCCTGGCTGGTGAAACAGCCCAAAGAAGCATCTTTAGAAGTAATATTTGATAATCAGGCAATGATCTGGCCATCCTGATGCCATTTGCTTCTGCCATAGAGTATATTGGGACCTGGATATCCAGACAAATGCAGTGATTAAGCAGAGAGCACCATCTGAAGTGCTTTCTCCACACCCTGAGGTGGAGCTGCTTCGATCCCAGCTCATTCTCAAGCTGCGACAACATTATCGTGAGCTCTGCCAGCAGCGAGAAGGTAAGCTTCTGTTGGACTCCCCTTACTTGTCTTATCAGCCCCACTGTACTGTGATGTTCTTCCTTCTGGTTTATGTCTGTCTTGTCCTTGTGATCTCTTCCTGTGGTGGTTATACTCTGTGACATTGTTTGTTGTGAACTCCCTAGGCAGAACTCCAGTGTGATGATCCTTATCAGAGCTTCTGGGCATCTCTTTATCTTGTTGATTAGACCCTTTTTCTGTGCTTCTTCAGGGATTGATCCCCCAAGGGAGTCCTTTAATCGCTGGATGTTGGAGAGGAAGGTGGTTGATAAAGGGACAGATCCTCTTTTACCAAGTGACTGCGAGCCAGTAGTGTCTCCTTCTATGTTCAGAGAGATCATGAATGACATTCCCATCAGGTACTGTTCAAAGACAGGGCACCTTACTGGGATGTTTTTGTATTGGTCTGGTCCAGTGATTTAGCTGCCACGGGTCTGTGCTTTTGTGTTTTACTTTTGCCGACGAAGTGGTAGGGTGCTGGTGATGTAAAGCTTGGGAACTGGACCTGGTCTTCATGCCTTCCTGGCAGCTGTGGAACTGATGCATGTGAATTTAAACTTACCTCAGGTTATCCAGAATCAAGTTCCGGGAGGAAGCCAAGAGACTGCTCTTCAAGTATGCCGAGGCTGCGAAACGGCTGATTGAATCCAGGTGGGAGTTCCTCTTACAGTGCTGTTGGGTTCAGAAAAGAGATAAAGGTTACAGGGACTTTTCAGAAGGGCTGCTGCATCCTACCTTATTCAGTGTTGGTCATCATCTTATTGAGGAAAAGCAAGGTTAGGGACGTACAGAATTAAAACAAGAGTACTGAAGGCATCTTTTTGATGCAGAGACAAGTGAGAATCTGTGAAACACTGGACATGGAATCCCTTCTGTCGTTTATCCCTGAGAAAAAAATAAGAGTGCTTAGGCACTCACTGCTACTAAAGAGCAGCAAGCTTAGAGTGGTATTTTATTATACCATGTATGGTTTTTCTGAAAACTTCTACCGCAGGACAGAATTGAGGCAGATAGCCTCGCGGGGAAAATAAGAAGCTTGTTAACAGGGTAGTTTTCTCCGAGTCCCAAGCTCTT